GTGAAGAATGTAATATTTCCCTGGCTCTTGAAAGAAAAGTAGAAACACAACAACAGAGAAGGAAGAGAAGGGTCCTCTCGTCTGAAAGACAAACCAGACAGGAGCACTGCAGTGTGGAAGCAGGAAGACTTCAGGGCACAGGCATAGTCTTGTCTGAGGGCTGAGGAATAGCAGAGTGAAAAAGTAAGTCAGAAAGGAAGAGTGGTAGGGACAGAGTGGGAATAAGAACCAAGCTGTGCTGGTAACAAAAATACTTAACACCAAAATACTTTAAAAATACATTTAAACCATGACATATTAAGAAAACTTGTTAGCTGCATTTTTCCGACAAACCAGTTCTAAAATATGTCCAATTTTACACTTTGTGATTTCATGCTATTGCTGGTATTTTATTTTATAATTTTTGTAGGTACCGGTTTTCACTGATTTATAAAATGTTATTCTACTGACTAATGAAAATTTTGAATAAAGCTTTAGAGATCTTACTTTAAGAAAAAGGGAAAGGAAAGGAAGAGTGATCCCAACAAGTGGAATGCCTCAATTATCTGATAAAGGCGTTCTTACTGAGCACTCACACTGTGTCTTACACGGTTTTAGATGCTGCCTGTGTTATAATTCATTTACTGCCACAGAAACCCTGTGAGGGAGGTACTATTATTCCCCATTTTATAGGTGAGGAAATTCAGGATGCATGTGGAGGTCAAGTACACCCACATTATACAACTAGTAAGTGACAGCACCAGGCCCTGTGTACCGTCGGTTCTATGAAAACCTTTTGAATCGTTGAGTGACATTATATGATTTGTGTTGCTACTACTTTTTTCTTTCATAAATAATGAACATATCTAAGTTACATTCAGAAAGAAAGCATCATGCACATTACAGCTGTTCCTCATCTATATTTAGAAGTTCTGAATAGTCAAACGTATTACTTTCCATTTCTTTCTTTTCTTTATTCAGTGATATGACTATTTCCAAAACCCATTGGTTTAAAGATTGTTTTCCTAGTGTTTAATCTATAATTTAAAATAATGCAATTGCAGTTTTTCTTAATTTATAATTTATTTAATTAAACTCTTCTAATATTCTCTTACTCCAATATTCTTTTTAGGACTATCTAAAGTAGGAAAAATATGAGGAAGTATTTATGGAAGTAGCTGTAGCTTGGTGTTTGCTATACCAGAGGGCAGAAATAGGACTGATATATGGAAGTTATCAGAAAGTAATTTTCAACTCAAAGTAAAGGTGGTTATTTCTTTTTTCTGAAGTCACTTTGCCCTTCTCTTTCTAACTCTGAATTTCATTCAGAGGTAGTTGTTGATGGCAGCCAGTTCATCATCATGTGGGTTATACTCATTTTGTCATCATCTTAGAGATTTTCTGCCTCAAAAAATCTTCTAGTCTTCTATTAAATATGCTCCATTTTGTAGCGAGTCTTCCAACTATCAATTCATTCTCACTAAGCTTTCCCCTCCTCTTTTCAAATACTTATATAAACCAAAGATATTAAACTTATAAAAGTATACCCAAAGAATCTTTAAAAGTTCAATTTAGTGTTAACATTACAATTCATGCAGCACTGGTGAACAGCATCTAATCTGGTCTCATTGCCTTACTCACGAGTGCTTTCATTAGTTCCAGCAACTATTAGCTCTTTTTACATCATTGAAATCTGTAACAGGCTTTGTCAATGAGGCCTGTCCTACAGACATCTTTGGACTCAGGTGAGTTCCTGCCCTCTCACTTCATCTCTAGTGAGGATGGGGCAGAGGCATAGACAAAAGATTCTAATCCCAGCGCAAGCTATAGCATCATCACAGGAGGGTTCTCTGTGGTTGGTTTTATGTTATGGAAACAGAGTAGAGTGAGGTATCTAATATTCATGTGATACAAAAAAAAAAATGGAGGTTGTTTCTTCAGCCAAGAGAACCTAAAGTAGAAAAAAATATGAGGAAGTGTTTATGGAAGTGGCTGTAGCTTGGTGTTTGCTGTACCAAAGGCAGAAATAGGACTAATAAGTGGAAGTTATCAGAAAGTAATTTTCAACCCAAAGGATAGAATTTGCTAAGTGGAGATATTCAAAAGTGGAACATGATTATTTCCTAGAGGAAGGAAACAACTGTTTGTAGAGTATTTGTCTTGGGTCTTCTCCAGCAAGAGATATTTAAAACTGGGTGACCTCATAATTTATTTTCCAAACAGGGACACATTTGAGAATGAAAGGATAAGAGCTACAAACTGAGGTATCCCAGGCAAATGGATTCACATTACCCTAATTTGCCCTTGTAGACCCCCGCTGTGTGGACTTATTGACCCAAGTAAGGGAAAGGGAAAGATGGAGGTTCACAGAAGTGCTGAGAAACAGGGAAAATCTGTGACCCTCTCAACCCCCGCTTCTGCACATACCCTGATAGGAAGAAACCTAAAGACCCATATCAAATAGGATCTCTGTCCTGGATATGAGCGAGCCTGGATATAAGCAAAGTGTTAGGCTCCAAAGGGATCCACCTGGGAAAAATTCCAGGACAGCAACATTCCTCCCAGAGTCAGGGTAGAGTACATAATCTGCCCAAGCCAAGTTACTCAGAGAGTTCTACGGGGCATAACATTAGACAGTTTGGGGCATAACAGGACCAGCCCCAAAGAGCCAAAGATTGTGGGGATGACAAGGTACAGAACAGGACCAGCCCAATAGCAGGACCCCAGACATTAGAGGCAGGCACAGTGGGAAGCATGGAGAAGGGCAGGCATATAGGGGCACAGTCTCCCTAAATATGGTCTGTGTTACACTGCCTCAGCCTGCAAGTACCCATGAAGCCGCTGCTCATTCCATTCTAAATGGCAATTAAAATATAATAACAAAAACTTACTTTTTACTATGACATCTATTGTAATCTATAAACTGCTTGAAAGGATCATTAAAATTAATATTCCTAAACAAAAATTCACATTTGACTAACTGTAATGGGTACTAACAGCTGTGTGCTCAGCTCCTATCCCTCTCTTGCACTTTGCCCCTAGACTGAATGGGCGCCTTTCACTTTGCCATGCAGCCATGTTGACTCAGGAAAAACTGATTCCATCTCCTGTTTAGAATGAGCCACTTCAAGTAATCCCAGTTCCCTGCCCTGTAATTACTCAAATCAAGCCAACAGCACTGGTATATCCCTTGCAACTGGTCTGGCTCCAGGCACATGGCCTAAGTCAGCTAGACCTAAGGGAAAGGCTATTTTTCAACATGAATGAGAGTCAAGGTGGTGATCCAGTTGCTGCTGGCCATCATCAGGGGAATTCGATGGAAACCTGCCAGTGGATGATGTCACCACATGAAGGGACAGAACCAGAGAAGTCAGAGCCAGACCTCCATTTCCGCCAGACATTCTCCGCCTCTGGCTTTCCTTTGGTGGTGATAACTTTCTTACTGTGTAAGCCAGTTTGAGATGCATTATCTTGATTCTTCATCTGGAAACATCTAAGCAGATCTATAAAACAGTGATTCTCAAACCTGCCTACATATTGAAATTACTCAAGGATCTTCAAAAAATTGTTGATGCCTATATTCAACCCACAGATTATGATTTATAAATCTAGTGTGTCATTGGATGATCCACTTAATCTCTAAATTTTCTCCCTTCCTGGAGATTCTAAGAATGTACCTCTGCCTAAGACAAACACAGGGCACTCTGACACTTCTCAAAGTGATGGGAATATGTGTTCCCATGTGGACTTTCCCCACCCTCCACAATATTGAGGGACTTTTATGCTTGGCAACAAGATTTGAATTGCTCTTCAGCTATCCTGCTTGGATTCCCCTTGTATCACATTTCAGAAGAGATGGGTTTGAGAGCCTTCCCTAGTAAAATAGGATTATAAGTCTCTATAAGTCACACACTTGGAGTCTCAAGAGGCTGTCATAAGTGGTCCCAACTGTTCATCCATAATTTTTTAATGGTAGAATGGATAAAAGAAAAGAGACGGAGTAGAAGAGGAGGAATTGAAATCTGACTACACTGTTAGCATGCTCTGCCACCCTCTCTTTCCCCCAAACCCAACATCAACACCTAGGTCTTTCTTTCACATTTATGTGTGACTTAGATCTGACCACACTGTTACACACACTGCCGCTCTGAGCCTCAGTACCCTAATCACTGATGAACTGAGAAAAATGATAACTGTTTCATCTATGTAGTAAAGCTTTTGTGAGGATATGAGATAATACATATAAAAATTCAAAATTAAAAAGTGCTTGATGAATATAAGTTCTTATTATGAGAGGTCCAGAAAGTTAAAAATGCAGTCTAGACCTAACCCTAACAGACACAGCCATGCCAGCATGATGAAAGAGCTTAGAAGAGAGTTATGTTCTCTGCCAGCCTCCCGCTTTAAGTTCTCCTTCATCCTTCCTCTCACCACCCCTCATGAAACAGCAGGCTTGTACTGTCAGGGCAACTCTAAGCTACAGCCTTGCTCCAACCCACTTCCGGCCAGATTGCGGTGCTCTGAGCCCTGCCCATAATGAATTCCTAGGGCAGCCACTAATAGGCAGGAAGGTTATTTTGTTGCATTTTTCCCCTAGGTTTTTAGAAGCACTCCACTTCCTCATCAAGAGTATACCTCTGGGCACTGCAGTGCTCTATCATTCCCTGCTTGAATTATATTATCTATCATAAGAGGCATCTCTTGAGAGGCTTGAGTGCTAAGTGGGGAGTGATTTTTAGAAAGATGTGTGGGAAATGGTTTCAATATTTGGCAATTCCTAAAGGCAAGATGATTTGAGACACTGACTTTTTAAAAATACACTTGATCAGCTCATTATACTATTCTCTTATTTCTGAAAATGCCTTGTCATTTGGAATATTACATTTAGCAGTTGCACCAAGGTGGAAATTTCATGAACTAGAGGATAATAATTTTCAGTTTATTTCATTCATTTATCCATATATGTCACATATATCACATAAATGCATATATTCACCAGGATATCAATCTTTCTTTTACAGATATCTCCATTAAAATATACCATTCTGAAACTAAAGACATAGACAATGCCCCAAGAAATGAAACAACTGAAAGTATCGAAAAAATGTACAAAATGTCAACTCTGAGACGAATATTCGATTTGGCAAAGCATCGAACAAAAAGATCCGCATTTTTCCCAACCGGGGTTAAAGTCTGTCCACAGGAGTCCATGAAACAGATTTTAGCCAGTCTTCAAGCTTATTATAGATTGAGAGGTAAGGAAAGAGATGAAGCCTCTTTAGCCCTCTGTTATTTCCATCCCTTCCCTTCTATTCACCCATAGGTTGTCTTTAGCCTAAAACTTCCAGGTCTGTCATTTAGCCGTAAGAGTTATAAAAATCAACCTAGTGGTAATCTGATAATAATGAATAATAAACATTCAAAACTATTGTAGATATCAGCTCTTATGGCTTAAAATAATATCTTGTGCAGCACAGAACTAATAGGGCATTTATAAAGCAGAAAGCCTTGGCATCTAGATTTTACACCTTAATTTTTTATTTTTGCCGATGCTCAATACTGCATTTTAATGTTGTTCCTATGAGTAAGAAGCACAGGATGATTGCAATGTCAGGAATCTAAGCAAATTGATTTATGACCTAAGATTTCATTTTTCAAAAGCAACTTTACGGTCCAGATCCTCTTTATAAGTTTGTGTATTGCTGATCCAGCAGAAACTTTTAAAGTTTGGAAGCCTAGAGGCACGTTGAAGTGCAAAGGAGACACAAATTAAGAGTGGTTACCAAGATATAATGCAGGAGTGTTAACAGAATTTATAACACAATTACAGTGGATTCTAGCAGAGTTACAGTGTACTTTTTACCCCAAGACTGTGAAACAGGATTCTGATAGCATTCCCAGAAACCATTAAGGAGTTCATCACAGCACAGCCATCAGTGGCTGTCCTTTTCATTTACTTACAATGGATGACAAAATTCTCATGGCTTCTTTTTTAAAAGAGAAAAATGAATCTTTGGTAGCAACTATTAAAATTCCCTGGGTGGCTCCAAATAATGCAAAATATCTTGTCTGAGTCCTAAATTCAATTTATCTTACATGTGAAAGGTGAGGGTTTTACTGATTTCTACCTTGATCACACTAGATGTTTGCTTCCATCCAAAAAGCAGAGCCACTCTGCTCTATTTAAAGCCCATCTACTAGAGCAAGCTGGTTCAATTCCAGCCTATGATGTGTTGTACACTACGACAACTGAGTACCTGTTTCACAATACTGACATCCAGCAAACTACTCGGATGTCTAGTTGCGTTAGATGTGCCTGGGTAAAATTAATCTGAAGAGATTTTATTGGGTTTTGGAAGCTAACAGTCTCAAAAATATCAAGCCTTATGTTCCTTGTGTGTCTCATTTTCTATGGAAGTAAAAAGATATTTACTTGCTGAAAGAAGCCACACCCATAGAAAAATGTAAAGTACTGGATCATAGTGAGAAAGCGGACTCTCAGTATAGAAAATCAAGGGCCCTATATTACTATTCTGAGGTCCTGAGGTACTAGCCAATGCTTGTTGGTGGACACAAAAGGCAAAGAGCCCATTAGGAAAATAGAGAAAAAACAGTGACATGCCTCAATTACTAATTTTGAGTGTGCCTACACATTGATCAGATAATGGCCCTGGTAAGTTCTATATTGTTTGCTCAAGAACGGACATACATATAGTATTTGCATCACACCGAATATGAATGCAACTATTCCTATTTTCATGGAACTTCTAACGCTTTACAACATTCACAAATAGGATTCACTGCAGGTATTTAGAACAGACTTTTGCTACATCAAAAATTTTAGCTCTGAATTTTTATTCTCAGCTCCTTATTCTTGATTAGGTTGCCTCTCTCATTCTTGTTTCCCTGGATGAAACAAACCATTGTTTTTCTCCCCACAGCGATGACAGTCCATTATCCTTACGGCTGCCCCTGGATAATATGAAATTTTACTATTCATCAGTGTAGGTTTCTTAAGAACAAATTGGTTCACAAAGAAACAAGAAATAAGACCCAGCTACAAGCAGTGTTCCTTTGACAGAGTAACCCACTTACTGTTCTTGTTGCTACTTTTACTAAATTATCTGTTGACATCTATAAACTTAAGAGAGAAAGTGCCCATATTCCTAAATCAAATGGAACATTGAATTATTTCATTTCCCAGGGCTTAAAAGCAACACAGTGAAATGTTCTGAGCTTTGTGGTAGAATCATAAACATGCTTATCCCAAAGCACAAATACAAAAGAGGCAACTGTGTTTCTGCTAATCTACAGGCTGAACTCTGTGCCCCAGCCAAACTTCTTGCTACAGGGATGCCTCCCTTCACACCTCACCTCACCCTCACCTGTGTCTCTCCCTCTCTTTCCCTCTCTCTCTGTCTCCCACATCCAACATCTAAAGCTAGGTCTTGGCCAGGCACGGTGTCTCACGCCTGTAATCCCAGCACTTTGGGAGGCTGAGGTAGGAGGATCACCTGAGGGTGGGTGTTCGAGACCAGCCTGGCCAGTAAGGTGAAACCCCGTCTCTACTAAAAATACAAAAATTATCCAGGTGTGGTCACATGTGCCTGTAATCCCAGCTACCCAGGAGGCTGAGGCAGGAGTATCACTTGAACCTGGGAGGCAGAGGTTGCAGTTAGCCAAGATCTTGCCATTGCATTACAGCCTGAGCAACAGAGCGAGACTCCATCTCAAAAAACAAAAAAAAATGAAGTTTTTCTTTCACATTTATGTGTGCCTTACAGAAGATTACAGATGGATAGAGTCCTAGTTCTTGCTACTCCATGTTGTCTGCAGATCAGCAGCATCACCACCACCTGGAAACTTGTTAGAAATGCAGAATCGCAGGTCTCACCCCAGACTTACTGTGAGAATCTGCATTTTAACAAGTTCCCCAGGTAAAATTCATTTGTACTTTAAAGTTCTAGAAGCACTAATCTAAAGAACATCTAGCCAACACTCCTGTTGTACAGATAAGAAAACTGAGATTTGCTAAAGTGGCATGTTCAGGGGCACGGCTGGCAGCAGAACTGGGGTAGAACCCAGTGTCCTGACTCCCATTCCAATGTGTTATTTCTCCCTCTGATGTGTGCACAACCCTGTGCTGGGCAGTTTCACATTCCACTGGTCTAGCATAATACTAATTGTGAATAACTGTCTGCAGGCCCGGACTTCCAGTTACAGCCAGCCATGCCTGGCTGCCAAGGTTTGTGCTCCCTGGGGTTCTTCCTACATCATGAAATGACTTAGGATATGACCTTCAGCAGAGAGGCTGACATTCTTTGATTTCAGGCATTGGCTGGCAACTGTAGGAAGACTGGGTGGCGGTGGAAGGGGGTGACCAAGGTGCTGGATTTCTCTAGAACCACCGTGGCAGTCCCTCCCAGTAGGTTCAAAGGAGGATAGTACAGAACAGGTAAATCAAAGGTTTAGAAAAGTCCAATTCTGAGAAGTTTTCAGATTTCTCCCAGCCCTGAGGTCCTTTGATGCCGCAACTTTCAAGGGTTTTTTTGATACTTCCCCAGGAAAGATGGGGGACTATCCTGGTGGGTTGTGGGCTGGTGTTCCCAATCATGGAAAGATTCTGTGCCTCCTGGCTTGTGAGAAGGTTCCAAGGGAAAAACGACGTCAGAGGAGCCACAAAGAAAGAAAGCCTGCCCCTCAGAAAGAATCTGAGATTTTATTAACATTATGATTCCTATAAACTACAATGTCACAGGGAGAAAATTCTTCCAGCAACTTCAGACATTGTGCTTTAGGGAGAAGGTTATTTCAGGGCCCTTATGGAAGGTTTGATGGGTCTGTGTAGTTCTGCGTCCTGTGGCAGGAAAGAGGACAGCAGGGAAAAGAGCAGAACTAGGAAGATGAATGCACCAAAAATAACACCTCCTACTTGACTGCTCAGACTCAGTCTCCGCAACCATATTTCTCTTGCCTGCAGAAATCTCTGCATAACTGGTGATGCATCCTCAGGCTACACAAGCCCAAGGAAAATGAACTTCTGTATATATTTGTCTACATCAGTTATGATGCCTGCAAGTCTGAGTTTGTATTCAACTGGGAGCAGCTAGGCTCAATGAAGAACACAATTCGTTCAAGACTAGAAAAGCAAGTCTTAATCAGAGACCGAAAGCAACAAACTCAAGGGTGTGCCTAACTTGTAAACAGAAGAGATTATCACATAATTTCTTCCCTGATGTTTCACATGCAAATATTATCTATGAAAGTCACAAACATTTAAATATTGTCCTTGAAAGTCACCAAAGACAGTGCTAGTTTATTTTATGTATTGTTGCATCTCTGGCTCTTATATGGGTTTTGAATTAAAGTAGCAGGTCCATTGGAAAAAAATGGAAGAGCAAAATAACACCCCCAAAGAGAGCGTGGAGTATGTAGGAAAGAAGGCCAGCAAGGACAACTGGTTTGCTTAGATTGGACATACAACTGTTACTACCTGGACAAATCTGAAAACAACTGAGTGTCACTTCCTTCTTGCATATTATGTAGACTATTGACCAGACATGAAGGGGCAGAGACAAGTTGCTGGTTTGTATCAGAAAAGATACTAAAACTTCTTGATCCTCACCTGGCAGTAGACAGTTCACAAAAATGAACTCTGCAAGGTGAGATATTCCATTGCCTCCCACATGTTGATTCCTGTTATTCCCCCAAATGTGAGAAACCAGATGGCACATTTGAGGTGGACAGGACTGCACCCTCTCCTGTCTTTGTGGGTTACTCATTAAAAGATCAATTACCTTGAAGGTTCTAGTCAGGTTGCTGCTAGAAAATGACCTGAGCTTCTATTGATGTGGAATTTTCTTCTTAGAGCAGAAAGCTAAGAGAAATCCAGACATGGAATAAGTGGGTGGGAGGGAATAACGTATAGGCATAAGAGTCTCCAGACTGGTCTTGTCTCACCCAATTCCTCCCCATGGCCCTTTTACTCAGCACAGCTGTATTTCTGCAGTAATTCAGATGGTGTCAGCCTCTGCCCTAAAGGCTCCAGTTGTTGCCATTGCTCTAGAAGTAAAAATCAACCTACTACAATTGCTTATAGCAGAGGTTTCCAACATTCTTGCTCACATAAGCCCCTAAAACAACTTTTAAGCCGTATAATCCTCTTACATACTTTCCATTGATATCTGAAGTGTTTGTCAAGTTTGAATTATTAAATAGGATGTAATTTTGGTGAGTTGTACATATGGATATTTAAAATAAAACTAGAATTGGATCATTCTTATGTATTCAGTAGAATCTACCATAGCCACTCAATGCTTACCATCAAATTATTTGAACAGATATGTGAGCAAACTCTTCTTAACAGTAGGAAATGTCACAGGGTTCCTTTTCCTCCATACACTCACATTTCCATTTCACTTCCCTCCTCAGTCCCATTTTAATCTAATTTATGGTTATGCTTGAAAATCTGTTACTGATTGATCTAAAATACTTTTTGGTAACTGACATATGAACATAAATTGAAATTGCATTTTTTTGTTTCTTGTGACTACAAGATTTATGTGTAAAAAGAAATTTCTTGTGGATTCAGTTGTGTTTATCATATTTAATATATAATCAATTCAAATACATAGTTTTAGTTTTTATTGATGGATGACTATAGGGTGAGATTCAAGTTTTGTGGGTATTAATGTTTATAAATACAAAACATTTGCATTTGCATTGCAAATGCAAAATTTTAAACAGGGCTTTGGAAGGCATCAGTGTTAAAAAAAAACAAAGGGTCTGTAGCTCACGCTTCCTTAGCTTCTGTCTCTGGATCAAAGTGGTTGCTTTGGTTTTGTTCCCCTAATTGATCATATACAATTATATTTGTTACTTATAATGTGCATTGCTAAAATGAGACTGGGTTTAACATCAATTTTAACCCTATTATTTTACTTAGTTTCAATTATGTGTTGAGAAAACTTTTTTTTGTTGTTGAGATAAAGTCTCTCTCACTCTGTAGCCCAGGCTGGAATGCAGTGGCATGATCTCAGCTCACTGCAACCTCCACCTCCTGGATCCTGGTTCAAGCAATTCTCCTACCTCAGCCTCCTAAGTAGCCGGGATTACAGGCATGAGCCACCAATGCCCAGCTAATTTTGTACTTTTTAGTAGATACGGGGTTTCACCATGTTGGCCAGTCTGGTCTTGAACTCCTGACCTCATGATCTGCCCACCTCGGCCTCCCAAAGTGCTGGGATTACAGACAGGAGCCACCGCACCCAGACTTGAGAAAACTTTACGTAAATAACTTGATGGGAATAGATGGAGTTTTGTTATAGTACTGTTCTTATTCTTTAAATTCCTTTGTCATTAATATGCCAATAATCACATTATGTTCTGTTAACATTATTTTTAATAATCTATCCATCAGCTGTCAACCTGTTAGGATTCCTTCTAATTTGTTGAAAGCAAAGAATCATAAATCACCTAGATTGACAAAATGTGTGTTATCCCTCAACTCAGTTCACTTTTTCTCAAACTCAGTACTGTTATAGCAAATTGTTCCTTCTTGTGGTAACCCAGAGGCACTGGGCCACAGTAAGATTAGGGATGGATGAATGGGACAGGTTTGTGACCAAAAAGGAAGTGCTAATCAAAAGGTGTGTCTTTAGGAAGACCAATTTTAGGAAAGCTTGCACAGGAACAGGGAGACCTGGAAATTGATTCCCTTTAAATATTTTGTGCCTGCTCATCACTTGGAAAGTCTTCAAGGACAGCCAGGGAAACCATACCCCAGTTTGGAGGCTGCTGGTATACAAAACCCTACACAATCTGTGTTCACCTCACCACATCTTTCTGTCTTCATCCTCTCTTACTCTCAACCTTGTTCTGGCCACACTGACATCCTCCCTGTTCCTTCAATGCCTCTAGCATTCACAAACTGGGAGAATTTACTTTCCCCAAATGGCTCAAAAGTCACCTTTATAGTGAGGTCTTCCTCAACCACTCGATTTTAAATTACAGTCCCTCACACACACACACACACACACATCATAGTCCTTATTTTCTTGCCTTCCTTTTTCTCCATATAATATACTAAGTACTCAATAAATATTTGTTAAATGAATTAACTTTTAGAGACTGTAAATTAGTGTGTCAACATAAGCCATGAAATAATTTTCCATGTTATTAGACTTTTCCTGGGATTGCCCACAGGGACCCTCTTAGGCCATGGCCATTTTCCACCCCTAATGACTCTATTACAGTGTGTCAGGAAGCAGTATGGGAAGCCTATCGGATCTTTCTGGATCGCATCCCTGACACGGGGGAATATCAGGACTGGGTCAGCATCTGCCAGCAGGAGACCTTCTGCCTCTTTGACATTGGAAAAAACTTTAGTAATTCCCAGGAGCACCTGGATCTTCTCCAGCAGGTGAGCCTAAACACCATACAGTTATTTGGAACACTGCCCAAATAGTTCCCAGGCTCCAGCCCGTAGGCCTTTTGAACTGGTTTCCACGGCATAAGGGTTATTTGGAGAAGTGCTTGGAGATATCTGATTAGACCAACAGAAATGTTATTCTTACAAAATAATATGGTACGGTCAGTTTAAGTTTGAAGTGTAGTTTAAGGGAGAAGGAAATGAAAATAGACCTTAGCTCTTTAGTTGGCATTATCTCCTGGTAAAATTACTTTTTATCTTTATCTTTTTGCAGAGAATAAAAGAAAGAAGTTTCCCTGAGAGGCAAGTAACCAAAATAGAGTGTGTGTGTGTGTGCTCTTGACTTTAAAAAGATCATATAATGGAGTGAGACTAAGCTATTGTACCTGTAGGATTTTATGTCAGTCACTGATTGGTGCAGATTATTCTGACAGACAATTCATGCATATAATGTACTGAAGATACATGAGTACATAAAATAAAACTAAATAGACCTTATAGATTTAGATAGACATTTGCATTGTTTGCAGATTAAAGAAATTCATCACTATGTGATATGTATCTAATGTGTACCTTCACTTATAAGAAATACAGAAATTAAAATAGTTTGATTTTTAGAATTTATGGTAAACTATTAGTTACATCAAGAAAATATTTAATACAATCAAGAAACAACCTGAATTTTGAACTCTCATTTGGTATTCTGTAAAGTGTTAATATCTCTCAAACTAAATTACTAAAGCTCTAAGTCATATCCTCAACAAGAACTGAATATCAAACAAGAAAACCAAAAAAACAAAAGAAAAGGAAACCTTTATTAGATTAAATGATTAAAGAAGAGACACATTGTTGTCAAACTCTAAACTCACAAAAATTACCTACATCTTATGACATTTAGAAGCCTACATCTGAAGATATTACTACAAAGAGAGGCACAAGTTTGACCATACGAATTACTGACAATACTTTACAATGCCTTTCACATTTATCCCTTTGTTCCTATTCCCTTTACCACTAACCTAGTCTAGGACCTTATTAATATACTCCATGAAAAATGTCTAATCTGATCTCCCTGACAGATTTCCTTGCTTCTAACCTTTTTCTCCTCCTTAACTTGCATAATTGCTGCTAGATTACTAAGTCTGAAATATTCCTTTTTTTACATCGAGTCCTGTACAATGGCTTTCAAAAGATTCCTACATCTTCCTCTTGGCATTCTGAATATCCACTCCCAACCTTCTCCAGCCCACTTCCGTATGCAGGAGGCTGAGTGTTAAGACCTGCTTCACTGACATCCCTTGCCTCTGGCTTCTGGTTAGGGCCCGTCAGTGAGGAGGAAGAAATCAGAGAGAGAAGAGAATGCTGGCTGAAAATTTACATGCACACCTGCAGAGTCCTTAAGGACTACTGGCCTTCAACTTCCACTCAGTTCCTGCGGGCCAGTTCTTTCCACAGAGCCTTCTCTATATTTGGCTCCTGGTCTCCTCTCACCCTTCTTGGCTCCAAGATAGTTTTAACACCCCACTGTTACTGACCCCGTGGGGTACTGCACTCTGCACTGTGCTTACTCTTACACTCTTTGCACAGCTCCATGAATAATCCCTTTCTTGAACTTTGCTCAAGTTACCTCACTATAAGTCAGTCATCTGTTTCTTGCTAGAACCTTCGCTGAGGGAGAAGCCAAACTAATCCAGACCTTTCATCTCCTGACCTCTCCAACCTGGCCTCCCATTGTTTGTGATTCCACAGCTGCCATCTTACCTCTTCTTCACTGCGTATCAACCATACTCTACTCATTCAAATTCTGACCCTAGCCTTTCCCTCTTGCTTGGAATAGCCTGCCTTTTCCACTGCATCTATCCAAATTCTACTCTTTCAAGCTCCAGGTGGAATCCCACATCACCGGGATGTCTTAACAGACTATTTGAGTTTGCAGCAATCTCTTCCTGCTTTGAACTTTGTGCTCTGTTTGGCATTTATATTTTTATTGAACACTTTCTTGCTTTCTCTTGTTTCCTGCAGGAGTATAAACTTCTCAAGGGCAGCAACTGCTTCATATATTCCCATCTACTATACAAAAATGTGCAAAATCCTCATATATTTTGTTAATCAATTATATCTATCAAGCCACTCTTTTACAGATTTTTAAAAGAGACTGCCAGGAGAAATAATATGACTAAGGAAAATCTTAGTACTAGAGTATTACCCTTTGTTCACAAAACACAGACACATTGTTTCTTCTCATTTAAATACAGGATAATGCTTTACTGATGCTTCCATTTTCAAAAAAGAAAAATAAAACAATGCAGGGTCTATCCATAAGAAAAAAATCAACAAAATGTACCAAATTTTGACAGACAAACATTAAATATGATAAGAAACGATTACTCAAGACAGAAAGAAAAAGAAATAGAAGCATTTCATCTATTCTTGTGCCTGCCAGCATTGCTGAAGAGAAAGAAAGTAACATGAAACAAACATTTTACATTAGCTATGGTGACCAAGTTGTTTTCAAAAAATAAAGAAAGAAAAAAATTGTCTTTTAAATCTTTACAAGAAGACAAAACATAATTTGCTCACCTTACTAACCTAAATGACTTTGAAATAAAGCCAGTGGAAGAACTGAGTAGCTCAGTGTCCCAAATTATAGCTCCTCAGTGATGGTATAGATTGCCAGCCTAGTGGCAGAATCACATCTTTTAGTAAAGGGTAAGAAAACATCATCCCACATTGTCCTGCCCAAAGTGGACTGTTGACTTGTAACTAATGGAATAGCCAGCATTTTACTAGCTATTCTTCTCAGTTATTTTCTTTCTTACAGCAAGACAGAGCAGAAGATGCAAGTGACATTAAGAGGAAGGAGAGCTTACTATAAACAAAGATCTGTAAAGTAAAAACAAATCATCTAGGTTTTAAGTGCTGTAATGTTTGATATAGTTAAATATGATCTCCATAAAAACCATGTATTAAGTACATAGTATAATTCCAGAAAAAAAATAACAATAATAGCTGATTTCAAATTCCACTATAGAGACTAAATTTTTATCTGGCCTGTGAGCACCACTGTAGTCATCCATGTTTACAACTGACATCTGTTCTGATTGGCCAGAGCCTGTGGCAGACTTATTGATAAAATTTTGTATATTACACATTAACAATCTGGCAGAATTGGGTGTAGCAGAAATATGTAGGTGATACTATTGGCTATGACCAATTCTAGATAACTGTACTGTAAATCAACAGAACACCTAGCCATTTCCCTGGGCCTCCCCATCATCTTGAGCCACAGAAAATTAGGTTAAATATGTTGGTCAACTGCTTCTTTTTTTTTTTTGAGATGGAGCTCCAGCTCTTGTTAACCAGGCTGGAGTGCAATGGCGCAATCTCGGCTCACCGCAACCTCCGCCTCCTGGGTTCAGGCAATTCTCCCGCCTCAGCCTCCTGAGTAGCTGGGATTACAGGCACGTGCCACCGTGCCCAGCTAATTTTTTGTATTTTTAGTAGAGACGGGGTTTCACCAGGTTGACCAGGATGGTCTCACTCTCTTGACGTCGTGATCCACCCACCTCGGCCTCCCAAAGTCCTGGGATTACAGGCGTGAGCCACCGCGCCCGGCCAACTGCTTCTATATTATACTAACACAGACACAATGCTTTGGGACCTAATAAGTTATAGTATCATACCTTTCAGTGAGTTTCAGAAGATAATACTACAACTGTTGCAGGACCTCTTAGTTCAGCTAAAGACAGGGTCCTTGTCCATCCCACGGCCATGAAAATTTAGGCTCGCAGATGGTTTGAAGGGTAAGTAAAGCAGGGTTTTATTGGGTGTAAAGGAAGAAAAGGGGGAAACAGGGACGCTGGCCCAGCTAGAGCACTTCCCACCCGAAGCTTGAATCCCAAGTTCCACACAGGAGGAGGAGGGGCCAGGCTCCTTCTCGCTGCAAGTGGCATGAATTTCCCGAGGCTCCACCCCAGTGGGCTGTCTGGTTGGAGTTTTTCTGTGGACTCCCTCCCCACCTGGCTGTCTCATTCTCCTGTCTAAAGAAGTACATCGAAGAGCTGTTAGATTAAGAATAAAGACAAAGACCGATCTTAACTGCTTCCTGCTAACAGGGACCGCTGTTTTGGGGAAATGGCAGTCAAAGCTCCTCGGAGGTCTATTTAAAGGTTCCCAGCTGAAGGGGCAATTGTCTGAGGCTCTGGTTGCAAGACTGTTTGGAGTCTGATAGTCTTTTTTGCCAGAATGTAGGGCTCCTGGGTTCCTTTCCCCTGAGCCCAATCCTAAAACAACCAGTTTAAGGCTTGGGAAATTAACTCTTTCCTGTTTGGAAGATGCATCTGAGGGGAGTGTGGTATGAAGACACAATTACCTATCAGTGAAGAGAGAACAGAGGAGGAGAAAGGAAAAGGAAGGCATTTTTTAAAGTAGTCCCAGGGGTTCAGGACGCATTTGAAAGGGGTACAGACTGAAGATGAATGGCGAGGCATCTAGAAAGAGTGGAGCAGGCATCCCTGGCTTCCTTCTCTCACTAACATATACTCAGGGTGTGTGAAGGAGAGAATGAAGAGTCCTCTTTCCCTCGTCCATCCTTGCATCCCTGAGTCCCAGTGACCTTTTTGGGTCCCACCATGAGTGCCAGAGCAGCTTGCACCCATCAAGCAGGAAGGGCCTAGAGAATAGGAATCAGCTGCTTTCACCTATGTCTCTATCCCTGCTACTGTCAGTAGCCTTGGAATTCCCTAGACCTTGTTTATGCCATAGATATTAATGTGGCCTTTATCCATGAAACAGGAAGCTTGGGGTTGGCTTAGTCAGCAAGTATCAGCCATGCTCACCTGTGCTGTGCCTTTTAACCTCTGTTGTCATTTGCCTCCAGACCCCTCATATCCTGTTTTCCCTCCTAGAGCTTTTACCTGAAGCTTAGAATTGAGTTTGAGACAAAAATATTTCTCAGGAGGTTGCAGTCTCCTTATTATAAGCTGAATGCTAAGGTGAAACTGTAGAACTGAGTCCTCCCCCAACAAGGGAGAAAAACAGATGTCTTATGACACACCAAGATAACTGGTAGCTGTAGCTATGCCTCCTAAAATTTGGGTGCATGGTGCTTGGCTTTGGCTAGTTCCCTTGGTTTTACTTCCTTAATAAGGAAACCTCTGGGTGATGGGCACCCTATTTATTCCATCACCTGGCAGAATTTGCAGGGTATTTGCTCAGCACTAGAATATTGATCTAGATTTCTACATTACCCATCCCTCTTGTTCTTTCTGAGCTGCAGCCAGGGATTGCTGGTTGGTTCACAGGAACAAGCAGGGTTAGTCTAAAACGTAGGCAAAAACTTAAAAACAACTGAGAGCCAGGCACAGTGGCTCACACCTGTAATCCAGCATTTTGGGAGGCAGAGGTGGGCAGATCACCAGAATTTGGGAGTTCGAGATCAGCCTGACAAATACAGAAAAACCCTGTCTCTACTAAAAATACAAAATTAGCAGGGAATGGTGGCACATACCTGTAATCCCAGCTGAGGCAGAATTGCTTGAACCTGGTAGGTTAAGGCTGCAATGAGCTGAGATCCTATCATTGCACTCCAGCTGGGCAACAAGAGTGAAACTCAGTCAAGAAAAAAAAAAAACTAATGAATTTATAATTTAATGAGAAATGGATGATGAGTTTTGAAACATAATTTCTCTCTCCAGTCCTCATTTTTGTTAAAAAAAAATTATAATAGGACAGAGTTGATTGCAAATAGACTTTAGTTTTATACTTGGCCTGATTATTTGCATAAAGTGCAGCAAGAATAATTATTTCTACATAGGCCTTTTGGATTGGCTTTGATGGAAGTCTGTTCCACAAGGAATCTCAGATAAGACCTTTAAATGCTAATCCCAGCTATGTTTTGTATCCTTAAACGCCTATGAGTCCTCTCCTCTTAAGGTCCTAAGTTAAAGTTGGACCTGTTAGAAAGTGACATTCTTTACTAACCATGGGTCAGGAACCCTGTACAGGGACTGCATAGACAAGGGTATGAGGCCAGTTTCCTCACTGGGCTTTTATTGGCTCTGTAAGTTGAGATTGACTCCTTAAAGGGAAGCATACACTTCCAGTCAAACCCTTGGTAAAGTACCCAGTTTTTCTAAATGTATCTTGTTGCAAAAGAAAAACTGAATTCTTGTTGCACTGATGCAAACAACTATATTGCCATAAATTAAGAATACTCACAGATAGTTTCCAAATTCTAAAGGAATCAGGCAAAGAGAAACAAACATGCTCCAAATTTTTGTTGCAGGAGTATACCTTACTTAATTATTAAAGCCTGTAAATAGTTCAAAATGTTTCCTTGACTCTGAAAAATAAAACAAGGATGAGCAATATTCCAAGAAAAAGTTAAAAGGTTGCTTCAGCTTTCTGAGTTCAGTTCATTTACTTAACTCTGGTTTTGCTAGATATTCGTGAGCATTTCAGCTCTTCATGAGTCCTATACATCTTCCTTATTCCAATGTTACAATCTCCAAAGTTATCAGAAGCCTGTATTTGAGAATATATTCGAGGATGAGCAGTATTCCAAGAAAAAGTCAAAAGGTTGCTTCAGCTTTCTGACTTCAGTCCATTTACTTAACTCTGGTTTTGTTTGATATTCGTGAGCATTGCAGCTCTTCATGATTCTTGTAGATATTCCTTATTCCAATGTTACAATCTCCAAAGTGATCAGAAACCTGTATTTGGAAGTACCTGTTAAAGTCCTAGAGCTTATTATGAACCATCTTTTGAAAAGGATAAAAACAAGACAGCAATTGTCTATGAAGAGCAAAATGTCCAGGGTAGTTACAGTTAGAAACACAATTGACAAATTTGGTTATCTCCATGGTTTACAATAACTTAACAACCTTAATTATGATTGATAGCATATATTTCAACATTAGAATTAATCCCATAGAATTTTGGAACGTAGATTAGCATTATTTACCCAGATATGACCTAAAGTAGACTGAACATCATTTTGACAATCCCATGCACCTAAATATGTCAAATAATCCTGTTTACCTCTTTTCTGGACATTCCAGGGGCCCTCTGGACTATCCATTAAGCTAGGTGTCAGGAAGAACAATTTTGAAACTGAAGTTTGATTTTGGGAAGCCTTTTAAATATGTTTAAAGAACTTGATATTATGAAATAGAATTCCAGATTGCCATAAATTATTTATTGTGCCAAAATGATGACCCAGAAATATTAAATACACAAAAACCTTTTATAACCACTTACAAATTTTGCCAAAGAGCAGATTAGTGCCTGAAGAAAACTTTGTTATGGTTTTATTTTAATGCTCAATTTACAGAAAAACCATATAATACCATTTTTTGAATTTAGTCAATATGTTCACAGAGAGAACCTCTTCTGCAAGATTAATTTCCACAATACTTTCACCACTTCTTTGAACCTTCAGCTTTTTCCTAATTTAATACAATCCTTTAAAACCTAGGCTAAAGTTTACATTTCCATGCCTTCTTATAACCTTTGACTATAAAAACTTATTTTACTGTTTTTACACCACTTGCACATAAATCTATTTTTAGTAGTTTTAACTACATGTTATAATGGTAACTCCTAACAGTTTTTAACTTTAAGGTAAAACCTGGTAAGTTACTTTAACTGTATACTAACTGCACCCGACGTTTGCCTTTATTAGTTAAGGGCGTAATTAGTTCCATATATCCCCAGGCCTTACTGATTGTGAAGCCAGCAAGACAGTTCTCAAAACCCAAAAAGAAGTTTATAACCTAAAACACTTATCAAACCTTGCATCTGACCTGAATAGCTTAGTTCACCTATTTACATTTTAATGACACCTTCATTTTTACCAATAATTTTTATGGCTGTTTTTATTTCTCAAAGATTAAAGTCATGTGCACTGAAAGGTACCACAGCTTTTAACTCCCTTTAAGAAAAATTAGTCCAAGTGCTTGTCTTTCTTTAGGCCAAATTAATTAGAGCTCTTTTGACAGACATCACACACAGTACACACAGACAGGCAAAAGGAAACCCAGTCACTGCATAGGGCCATTTAAGAGACAGATCTAGAAAAACATGCAGATATCAAACCAAAGAGGGCTCATCCTTTAAGGCTGAATTGCTAAACAAAGCCTTGCCACCTGAGTTACAAGCCATGCTCTCAGGATATACAACACGACGGAGGCTTGATTTTACAACCAAAACTTTGCAGAGAATACAGTGATAATTGTTGGGGTGGCGGTCTGGTCTAGTAAAGAGGAAAAAAGAACTTTAAAGGCTAACTGCCTACAAGGTGGAGAAGAGAAAAGGAAAAAAAAGTTTTAAAATGCTTGGGGAAAAACCTCTTATTCTTCTGCAAGTTTTCTCCAGGGAGAAAAGTTTAATTACTGTTCAATGAAGCTGAACCCCTTGGCCAGGGAAGGGGAAGGCTGCTGCGGAGACATGTGGCTGGGAACAAGCCAGCCAGCTGTGTGGGACCCTTTGGCCATATGTCCCAGCCCCAGCAGTGAGGGGAGAGCAGCAGGGAGCTACTGCTCCCTGGTCAATCCTGAAAAGGAAGGAAAGGGCCATGAAAAGGCCCAGGAGTGACAGGGTATGGAAGCATGGTTCCCCCACCCTCAAACATTTGAGGATGAAAGGCTTAGAAGCCACAGTGAGAGGTTTTTGAGTCCCCGTTTCACTCACCACTTCTTGAGCGCCATTTGGGTGCCAAAAATGTTGCAGGCATTTTCCTTGGTTCAGCTAAAGACAGGGTTAAAGACAGAGTCCTTGTCCGTCCCATGGCCATGACAATTTAGACTCACAAATGGTTTGAAGAACGAATAAAGCAGGTTTTGCTCGGTGAAAAGGAAGATAAGGGGAAAATAGTGACTCCTGCAAGGCCAGAGTCCCTGCTGGAGTGCTTCCTGCATGCAGCTTGAATCCCAGGTTCCACACAGGAAGAGGAGGGGCCACGCTCCGCCCCCCTACAAATTGCGCAAACTTCCCAAGGCTCCACCCCATGGGTAGGCCAGTTGTAGTTTTTCTGGGGACCCCTTCCCACCTGGCTGTCTCACCACCACTCCTTTCTAAATAAAGCTTGTTAGAATGGGCCAACATCATACACAAATACCTCCACCACCATGACCTTGGATCTGCTCCTAGAAACTCTTACATACCATCGTTCCATGGCACTGAGAACCTACTCCCAACTTCCTGGCTGGTTACCATTACGGGCAATGGCTGTGCTCAGAATACAGATTTAGTAAACTTGTATTACCCAGAAATCTACCTCTTTCACATTACTGTAACAAGAATTACTTTATTAGATAAGCTTAATGACTCTGGATATGCAAGCTTGAGGGTCTGAGATCTTAGCAAGAATATTTCAGTCATAGATCACGTCATCAATTATCTCTGACGTTCAGAACACAGTGTAAGTGTAATGGAATGATAATCCATTAGGCCCCAAAGACCAGCTTTGCCTACCACAGAACCTCAGGACCACACAAAGCCAGGACAGTTGTGGAAGACACTGGAGTCAAACATAACCATTTTGGAGAGTTTTTAAATTTTTCCTCAATGGGAATATATTCAAAAGTTACTTCTGTGATTTAAAAATAGGTAAATCCGGTTTTAAACTATGCTTTTCCTATAACTTTTATGTCTACTCAATATAAGAAATTTAAATGTATGTTATCTATTGTCATCAAGTTCTTTTTTACAATCTCTTATTTTTTTCTATTGTACTAATAGAAAAGATGAAATATCCACAGAGAAGACATTGGGAGAGGCTGGTGAAACCATTGTGGTTTCAACAGGTAAGCTTAGATCTCATTTCTTTGCTTCTGAACTTTAATTCAAATCGTGAAAGCATGTTATTTACAAAACAACTCCTAATTGAAGTTAATGTTTATAATTTACTTTCTGAAAACCAGCTTATATTTTTTATTTATTTACTTATTATATATATATAATAGCACTTTAGGTTCTGGGGTACATGTGCAGAACATGCAGGATTGTTGCATAGGTACATATATGGCAATATGGTTTGCTGCCTCCATCCCCCTGTCACCTATATCTGGCATTTCTCCCCATGTTATCCCTCCCCAACCTCCCTAACCCCACTGTCCCTCCCCTATTCCCCTCCAACAGACCCCAGTGTGTGACACTCCCCTCTCTTGTCCATAATCGGCTTATATTTCTAACCTTATAAAATAATTTAAATTTATTGTATAAAACTTGAAAAATATAGAAAAAAAAAGGTAAAACCACTCAATATCTTAGTTTGAAAGCAACCATCATGAACATTCACTGCCTATTTTCTGCCTCCTTTCTTCTGTTATATACACATATTACTGAGACTGTATTTACTTAGAGTTTGGATCATTTTTTTCTACTTAACCTGATATAAAGAATATTTTATAGTTCCACTAAAACTTCTTTAAAATAATCATTTTAATGACTTCCAACATTCTGTTGCATCCATACAGCTGTCATCAACTTAACCATTGCATTATTGTATTTGACATTACAAATAGTGTTTTAATTAAGATATTTAAACATCAATCTTTGTCAAATTACTAATTTCTCAAAATAGATTACTAAATCAAAGACTATGGATTTTAAGGCTTTTTTTTTTTTTTGCTGGAAAATTATTAGGTCATTTATTGCAAGTTTATCATATTCTAGTCAAAGAACATCAATCAAGTTATATACCTGAGTAATTCTACCAAGATTGTATTTCTGAATTCTAGATTACATATTCTTTATAGAAAGACTGGAACTTTTAATAATAAATGTCTAACTTAAATACACACACACACACACTGTATTTCCTTGTAGTGATGAAAGTATATTCTACCTTAATTCAAACTTTCTAATTTGCAAAACTGGAAACCCTACATTTGTTATCAACTTTTTCTTTTTAGTTCAATATTTATTTGGTTTAAAATACTTTTTAAACTCTTTTTGCAAATTTTCAAATGTACTAAAAGTAGACAGTACAATGACCCCATGTGTACCCATGACCCAGTTTCATCAACTTTTTGCCATACTTAAAAAACAATAATCTCATTGTTTGCTAAAACATTTTAATCAAATTGATACATCCTTTCATCTTATCCCTAAATATTTCATTATTTAAAAAATGTTTTAAATAACTACAGTGCATTATCACATATAAAAGAATTAACAATAATTCCTTAATATTCTCTAATACTCAGTCCATATGCAAATTTACCTACTTACTAAAATAATTCTTTGTGTTTTTAGTTAATTTGATCCAGATCTAAAATAGACCCACAGACTATGGATTTTAAGGCTTTTAATAGATTTTTCCAAATTTGTTTTCCAGAAATTTTGTTACTATTTAAATAACCCACTGGCAGAAAAGACAAGAGCCTGTCTCATTGCAATACTTATCAATATTGAATATTTCTATTTATTCTAGAGTTTGCCAAAAGGCAAAGAAAAATCATTTCTTCTATGTTTATTAGATGTTTGAAATTTCTCTTTTATGTATATTTCTATTGCAGTCTTCCCATTTTTCCATATAATCTAAGAATACTTTTAAATATATACAATAAGACTATCCTCTGGGCAATGTATTCCTCAGTTCATTTGGTTTTTAGTAATGTAAATAATGTTTTAAGAAATTAATTTTTGATTACTTAAAATATAGAAATTGAGAAAATAGAGATTTGTAAATAAATGATATTTTCTCATTCTTTACTGATATTCAAAGAAAGCTGCTGTGCCTATATTTCAGTTTTCTCCTAAGTTCAACTAATTTATCATTTCAAGACTGACTTGTAGCTAATAATCAGACAAGCCTAGTTGAATTTCAATTATAAAATAGTTAGTGGTGGCCCTGTGTGATGGCTCATACCTATAATTTCAGCACTTTGGGAGGCCGAGGTGGGCAGATCACGAGGTCAGGAGATTCAGACCATTCTGGCCATGGCTAAACTCCTCTACTAAAATACACTACAGCCAGGCGTGGTGGCACGCACCTGTAATCCCAGATACTCAGGATGCAAAGACAGGAATTTCTTGAACTTGGGAGATGGAAGTTGCAGTGAGCCAATATCATGCCACTGCACTGTAGCCTGGGGACAGAGCAAGACTCCGTCCCCAAAAAAAAAGTTAGTGGTAAAATGCATTTTTAACAATGAAAAGAAGAGCTGCGTAGTTAATTCCCCCTTATAAACAGCTCAGATTTGATCTGTGACAACTAATGTCAAGTCTTATTCAAAAAGGTGTTATTTACAGGAGGAGCATATAAACATGTAAAAAGATGTTCATTTTAATACGGGAAAACAATCAAAATTAATAAGAGAATTGAAATTTCTACTTTAGATTTGAAGTTAGTATACTTTAGCTGAGAGAAACTTTTGTAATAACAATGATAGATTTAGTAAGATAAGTTAAAGTAAGTTAAAATGACCCCTTTCTTATAAATTATTTTTCATATTTAAAAAAAAACTTTGAGGGACCAGTGGACAATTGAAATATTATAATATAATGTGATATATCACCACCATATATTTGAGTTCCAGCAACAAGTGTTTTAGAATTTTTTTCCCCTGTACTTCTGGACACCTCAGGTTGAAGAACACACACAGAACAGTTGAGGTTAGATTTTGATTGGGAAATGTTACTGGGTGCCTAGGTGTGAAGGAAGAGTGAGGAATCTCCAAAAGAGGCTGAATGCACTTAAAGATAAACCCAAGCTACCTAATAATTGTTTTTTAGTTGTCACGTGAATAATTTCTCTTCAAGGCAATAAAACGGAAGGACAGCCAAAAAAAAAATTTGTTCTTCTAGGGTGCTGGCTAAGCATTTTTTATTGTAACAAAAATTGTAGCATAAACCGATTATTCATAGGATTATAAAGTTTGCAGATGCCTTACATTGGTAATAGTCTGGTGAAGTCCAGAGCACAGAACACATCCATCACAATTGCTTACAGCAGGATTCTTCAATGAGGGCAGAGTGGAAGATGCCAGGGACCACATCCTTTGAGGTTCTGATATGCCACAGGGTATGTACTTTACTAGCCAAAAAAACTGCCTTCCATAGATGATTCTGATACCCACTCTCAAGCCCCATTAGGAAGCATGATTCCACACCCAGTGAGATTACTTCACAGAGCCTCACAGTGACAAGTGACTTCCTGTGACTGATGATTCCCAGGTAGAACATACTCTTCAGAGAGTAAGGAAAGATCAAATCATTTTTCAGTATATCCTGTTTTCTAAAACACAAGAATAAACTAATGCATTCTGTGTTTTTGCCTAATTAAAGTTGAAATAGAAAGCTGTTTCTGGTTAAATATAAACCAATTAACTATAACACTATTTTCCCTGAGCATTTTTAAAATAATAATTTATTACAAAATAGAAATGCATTTGTATTACAATAATGCTTTTTTCTTTGTTTGAATAGAACCCAGACTTGCATTCTATGGAGATCTTTAAAAATATCAAAACATTTGCCACATATTTGAAATGGCTTCTGGTGATCTGTTCTAAATGAAGTGAAATTGATAGCATCTTAACATTCTTTCATCCCTTGGTTTTCTGATTAAAATCTTATGCCTCAGTGATTGCCAAAGCAATCTACATTTTAAAGACTTGGGTAGTATTCTAAGAAAACTCTCAGAAGAGCAAATTCAAGGTAAACATCTGCCTATGTGTCCTTCATATAGTTTCAAAAAGAAAAAATTAATCAGGTCTTATCCAGCAAAAGCATTTATAACATTTACAGAGGAGCATCAAACTTGGGTCCTTAAGAGAAAGAATGAAGAATTTAACTAGGGCAGAGTATGTGTTATATTTTTTCAACATATTTATGTGATCTTGAAAATATGAGTTCAGAAGGTACCGAACATCTGTAAATTTCAGAATGACAGAAAAAGCATATTGAATTTTGACCTCAGTCTAATTTAAACTCCTCTATTCTCATTTTTGTGTCTTTAATTTTTAAAATTTTCATAGATGTTGCCAACGTCTCACTTGGGCCATTCCCTCTCACTCCTGATGATGCACTCCTAAATGAAATTCTCGATCGTACGCTCAACGACACCAAGATGCCTACAACAGTAAGAAGTTCCGAGAGTCAATCTAGCTCTTTATATGCCTGTTTCTGTTCTTAACAAAACAGGAAAAGAGAATGGATAAACCATCCATTCAGTAATATTAGTGTTATATTTTTGTCACTCTGGTCAGTGACAAAGAGCCAGTCACTGACAAGAGTCAGTGACTTTGCTCTACTCTTCATTGTCACTTCTTCCTAGGTACTGAGGGTGGAAACATGGATTGAGACTTAGGATAAAGTGGAAGGGGTTACAAGAAACAATTAATTATAAGGTCTGGAGTGCTGGGGCCCTTTTCCCCCAGTACCTAACAAAACCTCATATATATTAGTGCTCACGAAGTGTTAGAATGAATCAATCAATCAATCATGAAGCTCTGATTGATGACTAATAATTCATGTTGAACAATAATTCGATGTTGATAGCAAGAGTGAAGGTTTTGTTCTCAGTCATGTTCAGGATGAATAGGTCAAATAAATATCAAAATGACGAAAATTCTGTATGTAAAATGGGAAAAATAAACACAGTGTTCGAAGGCAAAGGGGCACTGGCAACCACTCTGCGTGCAAAGGTATATAGGATGAGAGGGTGGTTGCAGAATTTAATTGTGGAAGCAGGGAAACGCTGTCCTCATTGTCGACAAAAAGTCAAACTCTGTAACATATTTGAAGAGATTTATTCTGAGCCAAATATGAGTGAACGTGGCCCATGACACACCCGTCATGAGGTCATGAGAAGATGTGTACAGGGTGGTCAGGGTATAGCTTGATTTTATACATTTTAGGGAAGCATGAGACATCAATCAAATACATTTGAGAAATACATTGGTTTGGTACAGAAAGGCAGGGCAATTTAAAGGCAGTGGGGCTTCCAGGCTGTAGGTAAATTTAAACATTTTCTGGTTGACAATTGATTGAGTTTGTCTAAAGACCTGGGATCAAATAAAGGTTATGTAGACCAAGGTTCTCTCGAAGTCTCATAGTGGCTGTCCTTAGAGTCAATAGATGACAAATCTTCCCTATTCAGACCTTTAAAATGCGCTAGACTCTCAGTTATTCTCTTTAGGATTTGGAAGGCCCGGAAGAAAAAGATCTAGCTATGTTAATGGAGATTATTCACAGATGAAAGTTTTTACCCTCAAGGACAGCTTTGCAGGGCCATTTTAAAATATGGCAAAGAGACATGTTTTGGAGTAAAAACATGTTGAATTTCTTTTTTCTCACATAATATTATACCAGAATCAGATTGGAAAGTAAGTCACAATATATAGGGTTAAATAAAACCCATCTGATGAGAATGTATAGTTTTTAGGGCATGACTCCCCAGACCCCTTAGATAGGAATTTGGGAAAGATAAAAAATCAGAGATTAGTCCTCACTCATTAGTCATGAGTGTAAAGCTTTGACTGCACAAAGTAGGCCGTAGACCCAAAAAGAGGCAGTATTATAAGGAGTGGCAGACTAGAACCTGGCTCTGTTCATCCTCACACTGCCACTGCTACCACTCCTACCACCCATGGGGCCTCAGAGGTGACTCCTCTAACTCTTTCCCCTTCGTTTCAATCTCTCTCCAAAACACAAGTCAAAGCTGCAGGGCAAAGGCACAAAGTTCAGCCTCACCAGCTCTATGAGATAAATCAGAAATTAGACCCTGTTGCCATCCTATTTGCCCATTAGGTCACATGGCTCCAGGTTTGTTGAACTACTGTCATGAACAAAGAATGAAAATACTGCATTTCGGCGGGGCATGGTGGCTAACGCCTGTAATCCCAGCACCTTGGGAGGCCAACACAAGAGGATCACTTGAGGTCAGGAGTTCAAGATCAGCCTGGGCAAGACAGAGAGACTGTATCTTTACAAAAAATTTTTTAAATGACCTGGGCATGGTGGTGCATGCCTGTAGTCCCAGCCGAGGAAGGAGGATTGCTTGAGCCTGGGAGATTGAGGCTGCAGTGAGCTATGATCACCACTGCACTACAGCCTGGGTGACAGAGTGAGACTGTCTCAAAAAAAAAGATAAAAGAAAGAAAGAAAATATTATATTTTTCTGAAAAAGTGCTTTCACATCAACAGTGAAAAATACTGTTGGAGAAAATTATTGACCATAATTCAATATATATTCACTATAAAATTTCTAAGACAACTCATCTGTCACCTCTTTTCTCACAACCCCTGTGTCCCATCTTCTTCAAAATCTAATATAGGTTCCTCTCTCTGATTAAATATCCCCTGACTATTTCATTTCACATTCATTTAAATGTGCCATGTAAAATTCCAATTTGTCCAACAAAATGGTAAGCTTCTAAAGAAGAATACTGCATGCCAGACGTTTTAGTGTCCCATCAATCCCAGCAGCATGCTACAAACATACAGATGCTCAATGTGTGTTTTTTGAATAAATGAAAATCTTTTAAACAAACTTCAGAAGTGTTTTAAATGTGAATCCACATCCTCCTGGGTCCTACTAAAGTTGGAGAGAGGCTGCAGTATTGTCCACGCCCATGGCAGAAGGGAATTTGTGACAAGAAATGAGGAGGAAATACATCTGCTACCATTTATCCAGTTGAGATCTGTCCTTCAGGGCAATTTCCATTGACCATCCTCTTCTTTCAGCTAATTTCACTATAAGAGACCATGTATATAACCTAAGATACTCAATCTTCTGCAGAGAATTTTTTACTTTTTTAAGAAAACTAATGGAGCTTAGTATCTTCTGGGTATCCAAGGTTGAAAACTCTGTCAGACCCAAGTTTGAAACCCAGTTCTGGGCTTGCTCTGCGCCCTGGAAGCCCATGTGAATTCAGAACAATGAGAGACCCCTGCTGGTTCCCAGACTACCAGGCAAGAAGAATGATCCCTTGACCCTTAGTGATAGAGGCCAAGTCCAGATCCTCAGAACCGTGCTGCCGTTCTTAGCCACCTGCTTCCAAACGTGGCCCAAATGCATCATTCCTTCTGAGAGAAATTTCAGACTTTCTCTTGGCTTGATACTACTTTCTAACTAGTTTCAATTGAAGTTTAAGCACAAATATTCTCATTAAACCAGTCTAGGCTCTTCTCTAAGTTCTAGTTAAAAGGATTTTGATTCCAAAACAATTAAACCTTCATAACCTGCTTCTTGAGACAGTATCAACATATATTATCTAATATAACTATTTATTTGTGGTTTATGTTAACAGAAGTCCTTTTTTTTTTTAACCCAGGAAAGAGAAACAGAAAGTGTTTCTGAGGAGCAGAAAGTGGAGCTCAGCATCTCTCTGGTAAACCAGAGGTTCAAGGCAGAGCTTGCTGACTCCCAGTCCCCATATTACCAGGAGCTAGCAGGAAAGTCCCAACTTCAGGTGAGTAGACCCATCCTGTGCAACCATACCCTAAGCAGTGACTGAGAGGTGGGAGCCCACATGACATAAGCCCTTAAGGGGAATAGTTCTAACTTCTCATGGCATTCATTTTTAACTATTAAAAAGGAAACAAAAATTACAATGGGCCCTAAAGTGTTAGAACAAATGGATCTCCAGGAAAGTTTTTCACTCCAGCTTTTCTATTCTCAAAAGTTGCAGTGGTCCACACCTGCCCCCTCTATCCACAGTTTCGGTTACCTTGTCAACTGCAGTCCAAAAACACTAAATTGAAATTCCAGAAATAAACAATTCATTAAGAAGGTCAATAGTAGCCTAACATATGCCACAATTTCTATACCATTTACCTTACTTTACCTCCTCACATAGGCATTATATTGAGAGACAGACCCCATTCACATAACTTTTCTTGTAGTATATTGTTACAACTGTTCTATTTTATTATTAGTTATCATTGTAAATCTCTTACTGTGCCCAGTTTGTAAACTTTATCATAGGTGTGTATGTATAGGAAAAAAACATAGTATATATGGTATTAAGTACTCTCCACAATTTCAGGCATCCACAGGGTCTTCGAATGCCCCCCTCAAGGATAAGAAGAAATCACTGTGTTTACATTTATATTTTCTTTAAAAATTGGTAGGTTTTGCCGGCCACGGTGGCTCATGCCTGTAGTCCTAGCATTGTGTGAGGCCGAGGCAGGCAAATCACCTGGAGGTCAGGAATTCGAGACCAGCCTGGCCAACATGGCAAAACCTCATCTCTACTAAAAATACAAAACTTAGCCAGGCGTGGTGGCGGGTACCTGTAATCCCAGCTACTTGGGAGGCTGAGGCAAGAGAACCGCTTGAAACCCAGAGGCGGAGATTGCAGTGAGCCAAGATGCTGCCACTTTACTCCAGCCTGGGCAAAAGAGTGAAACTTGGTCTCAAAAATTAAATAAATGAATTTTTTTTTAAAATAAATAAAAATTAGTAGGTTTTAAAATCTCATTTAACTGAAAGACATTATGTAGATGCTTTATGCCAGAATGACCACTATGATGATGGTTTCACTGGTATATCCTTACAGACAAATTCTTCAAGATGTCAGGAATTCACATCTTATTAAATACGTACAGTTTTTTATATGTCATTTATACCTCGATAAAGTAGATTTAAATAAAATAACTATGTAGGCACCAAGTAGAGAAAATGCTGGGTTAAAATATAAATTCTTAAATCATAATACTTTGTCCTTACATAATGTTTCAATTTTTACAGTATGATGCAATTTAAAGACATATTTTTCATGGGTGATAAGAGGAAGGCAATTATATTGTCCACATAATCAATTAATAAACCAAGGAACTTTCCTAAAATGTCTCTTCCATCTCTGACCTTTGTCATGTCTGTCCCTGATTAAATTCAAATGCTTTCAATCCCCTTCAGGATAAACCCAGCTCCTATGCTGCGTGTGGCATCTATATACCATAATACGAGCTCTGCCTTTTTTTTTTTTTAGCCTCATCTTAACACCAGTTTCTTATTATGCCCCTCCTTTTCACTCTAGTTTCCAGGAATGTACATTATTTCCAGTTTTACCCCCTGTTTAGCCTTTACATGTGCTGTCTGCTCTGTCTAGAATGCCCTTCCCCAAGTCTTGTTTTACATGCTTTGACACAGAAATTTTCCTCTACCCGTTCTGTGTGCAGTGACTCTGCTGGGCCCACTCACTGCTTTCACAACACCCTGTCTTGAGATCACTTGCTTATGTGTCTATGGCCTTTGTTGTCTCTATTACTACCTCTTCATTCACCCCACTCATCATTATGGGGCTATGAGCTTCTCCTAGAGAACAGGAGTTGTTATTTCAATCTTTGATGCCTCACCTGCTAATACAGAGTTTGGGATGTAGTTAACTACTTAGTAATGGTTCGCATAAATGCAACTGAAAATAGAGGCATCCATGAGATTACACAACCATGAACTATATTTGTGGACAACAGCAGTGCACATCAATCTTACTCATCATGGCCAGGGAACAAACAAGCCCCCTTCTCATACTTAGAGAATTCAATACTTGCCTCTTCTCACCTGGAAAGGAGATGAATAAATGAAACGTTCTTAACCTCCAACCTGTCTGCATCAGCATTCAGTCAATAAAATGTAGAGTTTTTTCTACAAATTTCAAAGAAAAAGAATCAGCATGGGTCATTTATGAACCAGAAAACTACTCAGACATGGATTATTAGAACAAATGAATTAAAGAATAATTTGTTAACGTTTCCATTTGTTCTTTGGAACATTCTTTTTGGCAATTTCTTAGTATAGTCAAAATATCTTCAAAGTAGGATAGTTTGCCATAGACTCTTCGATGACCTGTTGTCAATTTTCTAAACACCTACAACAATCTGATGTAGAATAATGCCAATATATTGGAATTTTTTTTCAAAATCAGAGTTCTAGTCCTGCCAAAAGTTAGCTCTGAGAATTTGGAGATCCCTGGCATAACTTTTTCACTTAGAAATTAAAGAAGGTGACCTCACAGTTCCTTTCCAAGTCTAAACTGCTGTGTATAGACATAATTGCCAACACTTTTCTTAATGTTTCATATATATTAGCTCATTTAATTTTTCATGCAATTCTATAAGTAATATTTTTTTTTGAGACAGACTGTTGCTCTGTCACCCAAGCCAGAGTACAGTGGCACAATCTCAGCTCACTGCAACCTCCACAGCCCAGGTTTAAGTGATTCTTCTGCCTCAGCCTCCCAAGTAGCTGGGATTACAGGTGTGCACCACCACACCTAGCTAATTTTTATATCGTTAGTGGAGACAGGGTTTCACCATATCGAACTCCTGACCTCAGGTGATCCACTTGCCTGGGTCTCCCAAAGGGCTGGGATTACAGGCCTGAGCCACCGTGCCTGGCCCAATATTATTTCCTCTTTTTATAAGAAGGAACTGAGGAAAGGAAATTAATATGTCCAACAGTGTCATATTTATTAACTGGCAGAGCCAAAATTCCAACCCAGGCAGCCTGGCACCAGAACCCTTGCTCTTAACCACTATGCTCTGTCTCCTATTTTGCCAAATAAATATTTGTGGGGAAAGGACTATTGTATCATCATCAAATGGGCACGTCTTTTTGTTGTTGTTGTTGTTGTTGTTGTTGTTGTTGTTGTTGTTGTTGTTTGAGATGGAGTTTCACTCTTGTTGCCCAGGCTGGAGTGCACTGGCACCATCTCAGCTCACTAAAACCTCTGCTCACAGGTTCAAGCGATTCTCCTCCCTCAGCCTCCCAGGTAGCTGAGATTACATGCATGTGCCACCACATCCAGCTAATTTTGTATTTTTAGGAGAGACTGGGTTTCACCATGTTGATCAGGTTGATCTCGAACTCCTGACCTCAGGTGATCTGCCCTCCTCGACCTCCCAAAGTGCTGAGATTACAGATGTGCACCATGTCATGCAGCCAAATGGGCCTGTCTTTCTACCCTCTGAAAAACTTAGCCAAAGAAGAGTATGTCTTGCCCAGCTGTGTTCCAGAGACCCCTGCCATCAGTGCTGCTGGTTCCATTTGCACAATCACTGATTTCTCTAAGATGGAGCCTCTCTGCTTACATCTGTTCCCTCTCCAGGCTCCCAAGCAGGGGCCCAACCACCTCACAGCCTACCATCAGATAACTAATCATCCCCACCACAGCCCAACGCCTGCATTAGCACAGACATTCGGGCCTCATCAGGAATTAATGGACAGTGCTTTGCAGTAATTTAATTTCCACAATAAACCTAATGAGCAATTTAATACAAATGTCAAAAGGAATCATTTAATTGTTGTCTGAATGCTTTCTCCTGTGCAAACATTCATGAGAACTCAACACGGCTGCCTTTTTATTGCCCAGTTAACATACATTCCTGCAGAATCAGAGAGGCCCCTATGCATTTAGTATTATTAATAAGGTTAACTGTGCACTTAATTAGCAATTTAGTGGTTAGTGTTCCATGACAAGAAGGTCCCCAGAAGATTATTTAGCAGAATTAACTGAGGCTTTTGTCATCTCCTCCCTAGATGCCTTCCTCATACTCCTAAACAAAGCTGATTCTTAATCAATCCCAGACAGGTTCACAAAGAGGGCATAAACATCAGCAATAAATCCCTTCCACCCAAGCCAGTGCCACGGAGCCCTCCTGGAGAGGAGAACGGCTCTCCTCCACAGTGCTCCCTGTTGCTGATGCTGCAGCTGCAAGCATCTACAGCGCCAGTCCCAGGGTTGATTGACTGTTTTCATGTGTATAACAGCATCTCTGGTACCCCGGAGAAGAAAAACGGATGATTCAGGATCTGAATCTGCTGCTCTAGAAACTGTAGTCCATATTTAAATGTTAAATCCCTGAAGCTGTTACTGGAATGGCATGGCAAATTTCCTGTGGCCCCAAAGCTGTTTGTCCTAGGAAGCCACAGCAGACAAGAAGCATGTATACAGACTTTCCTGCCTGCCCTCAGAATAAAGACCAGCTTTGCAGAACCCAACCTCCTACATTTCTGTTGAGCCCATGGCAGTGTGTGGGTGGAGACACAGGAACTCACTCCCCAGGCCTTCTGCCCCTGACCTCTACAGGGGCCCTCATCCTGTCCTTCCTCCCACTGAGTTTCAAAAGACTTTCTCTGCTCTTTCCAGGCTCCATGCCGTGTGGTCACTGGAAGAAGTAAGGGAAAAATGGGCTCTCAGGGGCTGGTAATCCAGTAGGAAAAGTAGAGAAAAAGCAAATTAATACAAATCACTAACTGCCCGGCTGTGTGCCAGGCACTTGTTACTTATTAGTTGTCATTGTTATTCCTTTTTGGGTAAGGAGACCAAGATTCTGAGAGATTAAGCAGTAAACTCAGGCTCTTGCCGCCAGAAAGTAGCAGAACCAATATTCAAACCCCATCCTGCACAAATAGCTCCTGATCACCCAAAAGCTGAGCTACCTTCATCACTGCAGTTCCTATTATGTTCAGGGAATGAAAACTGTTTTTAATACTGTCACAAAAAAAAAAAAAAAAAAATATATATATATATATATATATATAAAATTAGAAGGTAAATAAGTCTGCTGGGGGAAAAAAAATCATGGTGCACTCTAAAGCCCAGTGTAAGTGATTTGGGGATTATCTGTGCATTATTGCTCTAGTCCTTCACACAAATAATGTAGAGTTGGCAGTAATTTTGATACAGTGACAACACAGTGGAATGGTAATGAACTTAGGGAATGAAGAGCTGCACTCAACTCAAACAGAATTTGCTGAGTCCCCACTATGTGAATGGCAATCTGCTAGACAGAAAGAGGGAAGTAAAGAAAAATGAATAAACAAGGCATGGCCAAGGAGCATGACCTCAGTGAGGGAAACTGACATGTACCTCACAGACTCTCATGGCGCATACTGCAATAAGCTCTAGAGTAGTAGAGAGAAGAAATAATTGGACCTGACTTTGGGGCTCTACAAACACTTTTCAGTACAGATGTCTGATTTGGCTTTGAAAATGGGTGCAGTGTGGGGAGGAGGGAAAGTCAATAAGCAGAAGGTGGGAAAAATTGAAGAGAACATAATTCATAGGCACCTGAAGAAATGGAAGTGCATATTCTATGTGGGAATGGACAGGGGTCAGTTTAGTGTCAGTAAAGGACAAGATATTGACCAAGAGGATAATGATCAATAAATAAAATAATTGTATTTTTTAAGTGCATGGTAAAGTACCTGGGGGTGGGGTGCAGATTCTGGAGGGTCTTAAATGCCATTCTAAACAGTTGGATCTTATTCAATAGGCAGTGCAGCCAGGCAAGGGATTGTCAGTGAAGATTCTAAATAAAAAGATTAACTTAGAAACAAATGTAGTCAGGGAGATACCTACTCCTTCCTCCTCTCCCAGCACACCCAGAAAACTATTTCTTGTCTGACCACTCACACACATAAACCCATTTCAGCAGTGCAGGAGTGGGGATAGGGAGGGTGTGCCAGCCCTGTGAATAACAAGATGGTGAAAACAAAAGACATTGTGAAATTCAAACCAACCAGAGTCAGGGCTACATGTGAGAGGTTGGAGGGAAGGTATCTAGGGATGCTGGGTTTTCTAGTATGGAAGGCAATTTGGGTTCGTGATCCTGTCTGAGACAGAGAGGCTGAGGACAAAGGCAGATTTGGGAAGAAGAGAATGGCTCTGGTTCAGGCAGATTTAGTTAGTGGGAAATGTTGGGATATTTATGTGGAGAACTCAAGACTGTGTATCACTGATCAATGAAGCCACGGGAGAAAATGAGATCTCCCAGGGACAGGAATAGGGAACAGGGAACAGGGAAGAGAGAAGAATGAGATTGGTGTCTGCTCATCTCTTGAGTCTTACCTTTCACCCTGCTTTCTCTCCCAAGCTTCACTACCCAACCACTATCCCTTCCTCTTAGCCTCTCTTGCCTCCCAGTCTCCTGCGGAAAAGCTGGTCCATGGGAGACCATGTCACAGGGTCCATGTCACAGGTCCCCAGATGCAGAGCCTAACACGGCATCTGCAGTCCAGCTTCCAGAAGAAAAGAGAGAGTGAGTGAAGCAGGGAGGCTGAAGGTAAAAACTCACAGGCTCCTTATGTTTAAAGTAGAAAGTAAAGACAGGAATAGGATGGAGCAAGAAAGGTGGAGAGAGTGGTCAGAGGGTGGAAGAACCAGAAAAGAGCAGGGATGCCTTGGAGGGGGAACAAATAATGCCACTGGATTTAGAAAGAGCCAGAGAGACAGTGGCCTGGAAAGAACCCTCCCTTACTGGGAAAACCCAGGAGCAGAAGCCAGGCTGTGGTAGCTTGGGGAGTAGTTAGTACAGCAATTATAAAACATTATGATAACAGGCCTCATTAGTAGGGTCAAATTAATTAAGAACATTGTGATGTCCATGTGAATTTATGAGTAAATCTAATCTATGAGATTAAAATCTATTTCTACCACTTTGTTTAGGTACAGCAGCCATTTTGAACATAATCATCCCTTTCACATTATAGATATTTTCCAAACCATATCATTAATTCAGAAAGTATCATCGTTAAAATATTATAGCTAACTCTAGTTTTAAGTATCGTCAGAAAAATATTACTCTGTGTGTATAAGTAAAAATCCTATAGATAAAAAGTTTTCCTTCAAATACCACCTTAAAGCTATTTTATATTTTATTGAAAGTAACCATTAAAGCAGATCAGAACTACCCAGCTACAGCTTTTAAATAAATAGCAAAATACTTTCCTCTAGGTTTTGGAAATCACTGGGAACAAAGAGTTTGGCCTCCTTGGTTGCTTCAATTTTTCATTTACATCTGATCAATTCGGAGAGATTTTTTAAAAAATAAAACATAATAACTTTCCATTTTCAGCTCTTCCTCTAACTCATCAAAAGTGTTTAGGTTTTTCAGTTAGGCAAGAACTGACCTAGTAGAACCAAAAAGTATTTTATAAATTTCTTTCTCTCTGCAGATGCAAAAGGTATTCAAGAAACTTCCAGGATTCAAAAAAATCCATGTGTTAGGATTTAGGTAAGTAAGATAATCAAACTCTTCTCAATTTATAAATTACTTTCTTCCTATTCTTTTGTAAAAGCAAACTCATGAGGATTATAAGATCATTTTTCCCAGTTGTTTAGCTCTGCGAAATCCTGGAAACAGAGTACATTTCAGATAAAGGAACTGTCTAATTAGAACATGACTTTAGGTGATTCTTAAGGGGTAACACAGGAGCTGTATTCCTTCCTTCTCTGGGAATCAGAAATACTGCTCTCTATAGAGAGCTCATCTATTGTCCCTGGTCATGTGGTTATGAATGAGCTTCTTAGGAAAATACCTCAGTAGAGACAGATCCAAAAAAAGTAGCAATTAATTGCCTTGGTGTCTGATTGCCTGGTTTCCTATGGGATGCTAAATATCATCAATATTTAAACAAACTACGCTACCCAAGTACCCAAGAGAGACAGGTGAACAATAAAAAGTCATCCTTATCAGGGTAGGAGAGTTGAGAAAATGGAGCGGGGGAAGAATAGGAGCATAAGCAAGACATTCTAAAATATACCTTTTATATTATTCTGACTCATAGTAATCTATTTATTACTACTCAAAAATTATTAAGTTAAAATTTTAAATAAAAAAAGATCATAAGATCGTGCCACACTAAAGAGTGTTTAACCATGTTCTACACCTTTGACACAAGCAGGGCTGTATCCATCAGCATCCCATCATTCTCATATGGGTTGTTGATTTGGGGCAAGAATTTTTATATCTTTTTTTTAAGTTCTCATTATTCAAAACATCTACAGGTGAACTCATAATATGGTATTTTTAACATATGCCACTGGGTAAATGTCAGTCCTGGTATGAGCAGAATGAGATTTCTTGCCCCAAACGAGCTTTGTAAACCAGGGAGAGTGGGCTTCCCCAGAAGGGTTCCTGGCTCCTTTACTGCCTACTATCTTAAAGCAAGAAGATGCACAGAGCAACGGCACCATGGCCCAGGAAAAGAAATAGCTTTGCAGGGAGCTCTCATGGTTTATTTCTTCCAAAGCTATCAGGCCCCTCTGATTTGTATAGCTTCAGAGAAAGGAAACACTGAAAACTGAAAGTTATAAAAGATGAAACCCTTAATATCTACCAAAGCAGACTCGTTTTTCTTTATTTCAAGTTGCTGCTCTGTAGTATTTTCTGTGAAATCAGATGGATTAGAGAAAAATAAAAGTTGATAGAAAAATATTCTGCATAAATGGAAAGGTCTTCTGAATCAACCACTGCAGTGGAAGAACAGATTTTTAATTTAAAGCTGAGGAAATGATGGGAACAGTTCTTTTGGTGAATATTCAAATGTTCATTATCCACCTCCCCTCAATAAATGAAAAACAAATTTTTTAAAAATCTATTTCAGAAGTAAATCAAAATGTTAGACAATGAAATTTTGCAAGGTAACTATTTTAAAGATACATCCCTTGGCACTGAATTTTTACCAAGTGCTTATCTTTGTAAGGATTTATTCTTATTTCTGCCAAAGATGCTTACAAAGTAAGCTTGATCATACTTTCCCAGTGATTTCCATGATGACATGAAGATTTAGTCCACATAAAATATTTTGGCCTTTGAATACAATAAATGATATGCTCATGAAAGTGACAAATTTGTAATCAATAATAATGCTCAGAATATTATAAAGTAAACATATTATTAAGGAAATTGCTTTTTTGTGGGCCAGATCCCTGCAGAAGATCAAAAACCCAGTGAGTCTCCTGGTACTAAATTTCCTTCAGCTCATTTGTATAAAGGTTGATATACAATTTAACAAGTATTTTATCATCAGTGACTTCATTGAATTTGATGTGACTGGGAAATAGGACATGTATCATTAACACAGTTGTGAGGATCAACAATGAAAGGTACACTTTAAATATTGCTTTATCTATAACTCAGCAAAGGTGGAAAACTATTAACAATCATGCAGCTAGTTGGAGGGCATACTCTTTCAAATATTTGTGCACAAAATGTTCATAGCCACTTAATTCTTAATAGCCAAGACCTGGAAATAAGCCAACTGTCTATCAACAGGGCAACAAATTGTCACATATTCTTACCATAGACAACTTCTCAACAAAGAAATGAACTATTGGAATACACAACAACATGGGTGCATCTCAAAGTAACTATGTTTAGTGAAAGAAGCCAAACAAAAGAACATCTTGATTTTATATATAATAGACTCTAGAAAATGCGAACTAATTTACAGTAGCAGGAAACAGATCAGCAGTTGCTTAGGAAGATGAGGCAGATAGGGATAGATGGGAAGGACCACAAGGTGGGATGAGTAAAGCTTTGGGGATGATGAATATGCTTCACGATCTTGATCGTGGTAATGGTTTCACAGATGTATGGCATCAGAATTCTTGGATTGTATACCATAAACATGTCCAGTTTGTTTATCACAATGATACCTCAATAAAACAATTATTTAAAAATTAACAGGACTAGGGTCTTGGCACAGGAAGCCCGGCCTCTTTATAGAACCTCATGAATTACAAACTTGCTGAAAACAAGCAAGAGGCAGGATGAGTGTCTGGCTGGTAGAGAAGGAAGTCTCACCCCACACAGCAGCACTAGTTAGACAGTCATATCCTTGCCTCCGCAGAAGGAAGGTTGTGGCATGCCTGTAGCATGTACATTTCAGTCATGTTGCATCTGGAAATAAAAGTCAGATTAGTTCATAAGTCCCTGCAGAAAGGGCAACAACCCCAATCCCATCACATGTGTAGAGTGTCTTTGGCAGCAAGTACCATTTGAAATGTAAAAAGAGAAAGCTGGACACAGCTACTAAACTGAATTCACACATATGTCCAAAGGAGTCCAAAGTATGTTCATCAGTTTGTTGACTAAATGGTCTTTTCTCACGGACAAGCAGGTGATAGCATGGCAAAATGAGTCAGGCTTGAGGTCAGGAAGGCCAGCGTTGAAACTCTGCAATTCCCATTTGACATTTTCCTTCTATGTACCTGTTGCCTTTTCTGTGAAGTGGGGATTACATTGTTGAAAAGATTAAATGAGAATGCATGTAAACTCTGGTACAGACCACTCACTCAGTAAATAGGTGGTTGTTTTTCTCGCAAGCTGTCCCATGGTGAATTGGACCAATCTGTCAAAGCTTACTGATTACAACAAATTCAAAAAATAATAGTCAAGAAAACACCAGTTCCAGGATTTAGCCTCAGGTAAATTATCCTCCGGAATAAACTAATCATTTAATGCCAGTAAGAGCTGAGAAATCCATTTACAAAATACTTTTTTAAAATGTTCTGGCACCAGCACCATCCAAAATGTAAAACACAGGATATATTTCCAGCCTCTTTGGGCAGAATATAAAGAAATTAAAGAATTTAAGAAGAAAACTGAAAGTACAGATAATCTTTGAATTAAGGCTCAAATCCTAATCAGAAACATATAATGATGTTTACCTCCTTAGATTCACATAGCTCTCAAAATTCCTGTTCAAATTCTGATAACAGTTTATATGTTTCCTTCAAAGCAAACATAAGAGACAATGGAAGAACATACTTTTTCTTTTATATGTAAAATAATTCATTGAAGTCTCAATAAATGTCATTAAATTTTTTTCTCTTTTGCATGTTTACATCGTGCATGATGAAGACCAAAGAAAGAAAAAGATGGGTAATTTGGACTTTTCTTATGTTTTGAAATACAGTACATATCCCCTTCCCCCAAATTTATATACTGGTTTTGCACAAATAATTTTTACATATAATGTCTGGGATAAGCCAATTAATTTTTGATGGTTTCTTATTTAAATAGAAGTGATTGAACAATTACCCAGTTGTTTAAAAAAAAAAACTCTCTAACCAAAATCACTATGTGGTATACAGGTAAACATTTTCTTGGTCAGCTGAACAGGATTCTGTCCTACTCAAGGTCTGGTTAGGACATAAAAACACATATCTGTACGGCAAGTATACTTTATTTCTTAAATGCCATTTGTAATAGGCAGATGTCTATTCTGAATACACATACATGATTGCATGTATGCATGTGTATTCAGAATAGACATCTGCCTATTAGGAATAAAGCAGAGAACCTAATGTCCTCCTTTCCAAGGTCAAGGTGAACTGAGAGAAGGGCCCACTCTACCTTGGAGAGCTCAGTAATAAGAATCCAACTCTGGCTCTGTAATTGACTAGTGAAATAATAAATGATAGACTCTAAATGATTCTATGGTCTGAAAAACCACTAAGAATACACATTATCAGTTTCTGTGGCCTTTAAAACACTTCTGCATCACTCTGTGTAGATTTATGACATGAACTAAAGGTAAAACCTGATTCCTGAGGAGAGAGACATAGTGAATCCTGTTTCATTTTTGCATGCAAAAAAGGTTTGAGTTAATGTCTAGGATAATAAATACACTTAACTGTGTACTGCTTATCTTTCTCTTTTCTCACACCTTCCTTCTAAGATGTTATTTTAAAAGCAGCTTGAGGGAAAAGAGTGTTATGCTTCATTTAAAGTTGTATTTTTTTAATTAAAAAATACTTCTTAAAAAAAAGTAGAAAAGAAATAGCCTTAAGAACTGAACTCTTGACTTGGTTACAACATGTATATACGTACTATTCTCCCACTGCTATATTTTACATTGCTATTTAATAGACCTTCCTAAAGGAGGCTATTAGTAGAAGAAAGAATAATTCATCCTCCTTCCTGATAGGCATGACATGACTTAGAAGATCACAAAATGTAATGGTCAATATCAGCAACTATTGACAAAAACAGTTTTTCAAAAAGACACAGGTGGGTACAGTGGCTCAGGCCTGTAATCCCAGCACTTTGGGAGGCCACAGCAGGCAGATCGCTTGAGCCATGAATTTGAAACCAATCTGGACAACACAGCAAGACCCTGTCTCTACAAAAAAAAAAAAAAAATTAAAATTAGCCCACCTCCTTACTGCACTCCCAGCTATGCTGGGAGACATGGCAGAAGGATCACCTGAGCCCCAGGACTTCGAGGCTACAGTGAGCCATGATCATGCCAATGCACTCCACCCTCAGTGATAGAGACAGATCCTGTCTCAAAAAAAAAAAAAGACCTAAAGTAAAAATCTGTGGTCACTTGATTCAGTTAATTATCCTTCTTTGAGGTGGACTGAACTCCCTGCTGACATTCTATTTTAGAACTAAAATATATGGGGTTTTTTTTCATATTTTAAGTTTCTGATTGTTTTAAAGTGGGATATTCTCTCAGAGCCCATCAGGAAAGAGGTAGAAGCTGTCCTGAAGCTTTGTAGCAATCTAGTGACTCTCTCTACAAGGCATGTAACAATGGCTTTGGGTGGGGAATGTGTCTCCTGCTATCTACAGCTCAAGCTCCACAGAGATGCAACTTACGGCCATCTTTAAGAGACACAGTGCAGAAGCAAAAAGCCCTGCAAGTGACCTCCTGTCTTTTGATTCCAACAAAATTGAAAGTGAGGAAATCCATCATGGGACCATGGAGGAGGACAAGCAACCAGAAATCTATCTCACAGCTACAGATCTCAAAAGGCTGATCAGCAAAGCACTAGAGGAAGAACAGTCCTTGGATGTGGGGACAATTCAGTTCACTGATGGTCAGTTAGTGATTGCTTAGTTCTGAGTTTATTCTCATTTTGACAGAGACTAGGAATATGAATGTCTAATAGAAACTGTCATTTTTACTTAGGTCTTATAAAATCAATCATTACTGTGACAGGAACATGCATGGTATCATTTCTAGCTTTTCTCACTCCCCTGTGTCTCATTTGATGAGTCTTTGGTACCCACTTCTTACCAAGGATAACTCTAGGAGAATCCAGGGGTTTCAGTTCAGTCCAGGTCAACTGTGGACAGCCAGTGGAACCAAGGCAGAGAAAAGAACCCACAGACAGTTCTGTTCCTTGGCACAACCTAAACAGATTCTCTCATCTAGTCAATTGGTCAGGTCCCAGCAAGGAACAGATGGCACATTCAAATTAGTATAATTTGAGGAGAGTTTAGTAAAGGGACCATTTGTAATGGTTTGCCTATATACAAAGGATTAGGAGAGTTCCCTGGGGCTAGAAGCAGCAAGCCTCATTACTACCTCCAGACTTGAAGGGTTCCCTAATGTTGTTGTAAGCCATGCCAAAGACAGCACAAGGAACCATTGATGTAGTCCGTATTATTCAACCTTCTGGAGCAGAGAGTAGCAGGCAGAGGAGGGGAGAGTGGATCTGAAGAAGTCAACAACATCATCAGGATCCTTGGAGGGTGGGGACTCATAAGCCTGGAAATTCTCAGTAGGTTCAGTAAATGGCAAAGTAGATGGACACTGGAAATGCCATTTTAGTACAACATGGCACAAAACTGTCAATTTTCTGCCTAAGATGGGCACACTCTTAACACTAGAAAACTTCATAAAGGTCTTTTGGGACAAGATGAAGAGCCATGGAAATTCATAGGCTAGAAAAGGTCAACTCAGATGCATCTCAGAGACAACCTGACACTTGGGACTTGTCTCTTTTGAGCCCTTTGTGGCATTCTGAGAATCAGGCTTTAGGATGAAAGTTTGCTACAAATGATCATTGGGTCCAGTATTTATTCTAGTCATTTTGTTTCTGATCAGCTTCATCGTATTTTTATCCTCAATAGTCTAGATAATTTGCCGGCCTGCTTGGTCCAAATCCATAGAATAAAACTGAACATCCTAAAAATCCACCCTAATAACTATTCTCGTCACATAAACATGCAAGATGCACACTTTGCATCTGTCCTTCAATATATCATTCAGATTAGTGAACTTTTTTCTATGCCTCTGATTTCTTAATGATTTGTTATACTACTCCCTAAGGACTGGTTATTCCACATAGTTCAACCTGGACTGTTTTATTGCTCCAACTACAAAAGAAAAAGGAAAGATATACTCAAATCTTGTGATTTTTACCCACAGAAATTGCGGGATCACTGCCAGCCTTTGGTCCTGACACCCAATCAGAGCTGCCCACATCTTTTGCTGAGATATCAGAGGTGAGTTTGTTGTCCTTTTGTTCTTTGAATAGGAACAAAGTCTCAAAATCTTCCACCAAAAAGCAAATCAGCTTAAGGACCAAACAGAACAAAATCCCCTTTGCAATGCTAATTATATTCTTTTCTGTTTTTTACAAGCTGCACTTGCTTAACCCACTTTCAGTCTCTGTATTAACAAAATATAATACAACTTGCATTTCAGATATCCCAAAGTTCAAAGTTTCCTTCAATTTAGTTACATCTTTGTTTCAATTAGAATTAGGATGTGCTCCCTTTTTAATAAAATAAACAAATTTTCATGAACTGAAAAGAATAATTAAAGCAGAATATATTATTTAACTTTGACTTTCAGAAATATATATAAACATGATCATACTTCACAAATTTGTTTTTAAGTCTTAAGAACTTACCTATGTATTTATTTATGGGGCTTTGATAAATACAAATGAATGTCTTTAAAAGTAAATAATAAATTCAGTAATAATTTTTGTATTTAATTGAAACCTATGTTTATTTAATTTATGCCAGAAGTTGTCACTGGGGTTTTCATAAATAGAAGTGCTGACTAAGCCTTATTCCCTTCTAAAGCAGAAAAATTCATAACATGATTCACAGAAATTATAGTATCTTAGTTATTAAGTGTATTCAGGCAGATTCAGTTATTCAAGAAGCAATAGATCTTATTTTACCACTATATCAATGGATATTATCCTTTTAGAACATATTTGTATATCAGAAGCTTCCTCTATAGTAGATTCAAGTCAACTACAAAATAGTTTGCTTAAATTTAAATGAAAACTTTAAAATATGGAGTATAGCCCTTCTCCTATACAGACAAATGTCCTTTCTCAACATCTGTCTTTCAAAATTTATTCTTCAGGATGCTACTTTGAGTCCAGAACTTCCTCTTGTTGAACCCCAGCTTGAAATAGTGGATGGCGCAGAGCATGGTCTACCTGGTAAGTTTCTTCTCACAAAGTCTATGTTAGATGACAGCATATTCTTTGATGAATCTTGTTATGATACTGCCTCAAAGACCAGTGACAAAGCCATCCTCAACTCAGGAAAAGCTTCACCGCCACCAGCATTTCTAACAGAAGAGTAGTCCATGGAACTATCCTTTCTGCAGAGGAGGACATCCACAGCATCCTTCCTTCAGCTCTAGTTCCCAGTCCCACAGCTAGCAATGGCAGCCCTTTTCTGATGGAACTGGTGAAGGAAGCTGAAAGCAAAGCAGCAAACTGCTGCTCACCCAGAACAACAATCTCCTTGGGCTTGGAAACTGAGAGTCCATGAGGTCCTAAGGCCCAAGTCCTAAGGTAGGTCCTAAGGCCCAAGTCCATGACAAACTGCCATGTCAACGGTGAACTGGGCCTTTCAATCAGTATATGTATTCCTGTGCCTCTTACATGCTGATCATGGATACTGTCTGTTCCGCTACATATGTTTCTTTAGTGTAAATTAGCTGATGTGTAATTGACAACTAAGAAAGAGTATCAGTAAACACAGAAGTCTTGATGATTCACTTTTGCATCTCCACGAAGGTGAATTGTGAGGCAATCGTATCAAACTTTCTCACAGTTAAAGACAAATATTTAGCAACATATGAAGACACTAGGGAAGAAACAACTAAAAATCTTGCAGAGAGCCTTTGTTAGTGCAAAAAATAGCTGATTTAATGGCTCCAAGAACCTCTATTCTTTCTACGCTATAGAGTTCTGTGGTGAAACCACAAGTAAAAAACACAAGACCCAGGATACAAGGCTGATAAGAATGTACTGTGATTATAAGTGCAAATGCCATTGGAGATTTGCTATGACTGGCACATTTAATAAGATTGTTATTGGCCGGGCGCAGTGGCTCACACCTGTAATCCCAGCACTTTGGGAGGACAAGGTGGGTGGATCACGAGGTCCTAAAATCAAGACCATCCTGGCCAACATGGTGAAACCCTGTCTCTACTAAAAATACAAAAAAATTAGCTGGGCACAGTGGCGGGTGCCAGTAATCCCAGCTACTCCAGAGGCTGAGGCAGGAGAATAACTTGAAGCAGGGAGTTGGAGGTTGCAGTGAGCCAAGTGCACCACCACACTCCAGCCTGGGCGACAAAGCGAGATTGTCTCAAAAATAAATAAATAAATACTGTTATTGTTTTATATAGGGCTCTCTACAAAATTCTACAAGTTTCAAGTGGACAAACTTAGCTCTATTTTCCTCATAAACACTATGCAATTAGTGTGCCATTTTACAGAATGCAAGGTTTTTCAGGAATACTTATATGGCATGATAGCAGAATTACTTACACAAATTGGATTGCATTTACATGATTATCGGTGAATAAATGTTATGTTTTTGACACGGTTATTTATTGCTCTATTATAAACCATCCCTAAAGTTCGTAGCCTAAAACAATAATCATTTATTTTGCCAATATATCTGAAATTTGAGCAGGGATCACCGGGAACAGCTTTTCTCTGCTCCATGTTGTCTCAGCTGCTGGGATATCCCAGCTGGTGTTGAAGATCCATTTCCAAGATGATTCACTCACTGGCTGGCAAATCAGTGCTCATCCAGAGCTGCTGGCAGCTGGGGATGGGGAGCCTCATTTCTTCTCTACATAAGTTTCTCCACAGAATTGCTTGGGTTTCACTACAGCATGGTAGCTGAATTCGGAGTGTTCGTATTCTAATATCTTAAGGGCCTAAAAACAACATCGTTTCCTCACATTATAATAGCTAGGCAGCTGCAGAGCCCATCTAGATTCAAAGGGAGGGGTCATAGATCTTCTCTTTTGATGGGAGAAGTATCGAAGACTTTATGCCATTTAAAATTAATCACAATCCACATCAACCACTATTTTGCCATCCAAATCATTTTAAGAGTTGGTTGGACAAAGCAAAACAAAACCTTTGCTGAAATGATTGATCTTAAACATTCACTGAATTATTTTCTTTCATTATATCATAAAACTTTCTTATAAGATCAGCATTTCAGGTAGATTAATAAAAATAATAATATATCTATGATGAAAGCATTGTCATATTTTCAAATTGCTTTACTGTTTCCACTTTATTTATACATTCCTTTTACTCATAAATACACCATAGAACACTAAAGCTGGAAGAAATCATAGAAATAATTTGGTTAACCTTCTGTGTTTCACAAATGAGAAAACCAAGGCTAGAAATGTGAAGTGCCTTGTTCAAGGTCACATCATAACTTGCCACAGAGCCAGGATCATTATTCAAGTTTTCTCTATCTATTATACTATGTTCGGCTTAAGTAGCTCCATCCTTTGCAAAACTTGATTTGCCCTCAAACCACAGCCTCTTCTCTCTCTATTTCACTACTTTGTCGATTTTTCTAAATTATCTAGGCTTCTAAGTCTCTATTATGTCACCTCCTGATCACCACAGGATTTCACCTCTAACCACACAAAACTTTCACAAAAGTCACCGATGACTTCCTAATTGACCAATTTAGCAGTCTCATTTCCATCTTCTTTTCATTTGACATTTCTGGCACAAGGCTCTTGTTAACCACTACCCTCTTGAAACTCTTATATCTGGATTTCCATAAAATGACTCCTTCTGGGTTCTTCTTGTATTCTCTGCCTGCTACTCCATCTCCCACAGTGTGGCTTGTTATTCGATTTTTTTTAATTTTGCTTATTAAAATTCTACACCTTTTAAAAAAAACATAGTGATTTACAGATGTGGATGCAATTTAAAAAAGGTTTTATTTTGAAGAATGGAAAGAAAAATGGAAGAGAAAATAAAATGAACATTACTCTATTAGTGAAATGGAAGTGTTTGGGAATGAGATTGATGTGGTGATCACACAGCATTATGAATGTACCAAATGCCACTAGACATTTACCTTAAAATAGTTAATTTTACGTTTATAAGTTTCACCTCAATAAATTTGTTTAAAATAACTCTGTAGGAAAAATTGGATACAAAATAAGTATCATAGAGTTCTGTAAGTTTGCTTTAGATGGTTCATGATTTGACTCTGAGCTTCTTAACAGGCTGTGTAAGGAGAAAAATACAACAGGTCACCTAACATAGATCTGCATGCTTATAGCATGGTAATTGCTTAAGAGAAAAATCTATCTGATGAATTCTCGTAAGGAGGACAGTCTGGGTTATAGTGGACCATGTCCTGTCCACGTGAACTTTACTACTGTGTAAAACCAGTGTCAGGTGTTTCCTTTAAGGCCCTCCCTGGACATGTACAATGAATGCCAAAGCCCATTTCATTATAGAACTTCCAGTAGGGGCTAGGTGCTGACAGTCTGCTTTAATTCCAGAAATGATTTTGCATTATTTAGATAAATAGCTGTGCTATCTAACCTTCTGTCAACGTTCTGTAAGTAAAAATTATACATCATAATTGATCTTTTGATTTGTATTGAGAAGAGTTATATTTGCTGACCTGGACCTAGAGTGCAAATATTCCATATTGACAATTAAGGGCAGATCCATATGCTTTCATAATCAGCCCAAATGGGAGTAGAAATGACATATCATAATGAAAAAAATGGAAACTCTAACTGGGAAATATTCCTGATAAAAAGACAGTTATACATGGATGGAACACAGCAAAAAAAAAAAAAAAAAAAAAAAAAAAAAAAAAAAAAAAAAAAAGGTTGGGGGAATCTGAACAAGACCAAGGCTTCCTTCCCTCATAAAACAATTCTGGCATTTTCCCATGTACAGATAAAATGAAAATTAGGGCTCCAAAATTCTGCACCATAGTATTACTGAGATAATTTTAGCCTGGAAAATTTTTAAGGTTAGTGTCACCAAACACCCACCAAGCCATTAAAATCTCAGTAAAGCACTCAAAGAAATCTTTCAGCTTCAGCAGTTTAATTTAGTAGTTAATTCTCCTAGATAAAGTACTTGCAAAATATGCCTCTAGGACACTAAATGAATTGGTATGCTGTATAGAATTGTGGGGTCTTCTATTGTTAATATTTTTTAGAGTAGCTGACCCCAAGTCATTCTTTTTTGTAGAGCCAGTTATCTATTAAGATCACTCCTATTGGCTGGGCACAGTGGCTCATGCCTGTAATCCCAGCGCTTTGGGAGGCTGAGGCAGGCAGATCCCTTGGGGTCGGGAATTTGAGACCAGCCTGGCCAACGTGGCGAAACCCCGGGTCTACTAAAAATACAAAAATGAGCCAGGTATGGTACTGCATGCCTATAGTCCCAGCTACTAAGGAGGCTGAAGCAGAAGAATTGCTTGAATCCGGGAGGCGGAGATTGCAGTGAGCCAAGATCACGCTAGTGCAATCCAGCCTGGGTGACAGACCAAAATTCCATCTCAAAAAGAAATCACTCCTATTTCATAAAAATGAGTCACCCACATATAGGAGAAAGTCAATATTCTGTCCTCCACAAAACATGTATCCAACTTTTTCAAAAATAGTATAAATTCATTTGGGTAAAACTTTTTTGTGGTTTGGTTTGGTTAAGACATGTGTAGGTGGCAAAACATTTCTCTTTTACCTCATTAGAATGATCATCTGGTATATCAGGAGAAGTTCTTTAGTGTCCTACCTCCCAAATTACAGAATTTTTCACTTACAACACATTCCATTTAAGATAGAAACCAAGTCTCTTAATAAATTGCAATGTCTTAAGTGAAGAAGCAAAAATTAAGCAGAGCTATTGTACTATTGGATCTTGTTTTGTCTTTTATTGCCCATCTAGGTAATACATTAAAATCAGCACATTTCCAACTATTCTTTATCTCACCTCAGCCTTTGACTCCATCAAAAGGAATCCATGAGATGAGCTAAATTGAATGAACTGAATATAAAACCAAATAGAGCCAGACGGCTCTATTCATTCCTATACTGGCAGTGTCCGGCCAGATGCTATATTAAAAAATAATAAATGTTAAATGAATTAAAGCAGTGAATGAATGAATTTGTATTACAATATCTCCA